CAGTATATACATTCTTCATAGAAAGTACACTGTATTTGCATACTTCATGCGTACAATGCCCTTCACTTTGCATTTATACACTCCATATATACATCCTAAAAGTTTACAAGACACCTTTTGTTTATGCAATTTATACATACATCATTCATGAATACAAGACACTGCATTTACATAGCCTATACACACAGCCTTACCTATATGCTTCATACATACAAGACACTGCATTTACATACTCCATACAGACGTCCTCCATATCAAGACATATATGAACCTAGTACATGATAGCGCGCTTGCATTATTATTATTATTATCATCATACGAAAGCGTTAAACATGCATGGTTCACAACGCCTGGGAAATGGGAGGCAATTATTTTGATGAGGAAAAAAAATCGAAGGGGAGTTTTAACATCTTGGATAATTAAACAACCCCTTGTCAGCATCAAAGCACCTTCCCCTTTTTACAGTTAGTGTATATTATTTAAGAATTTATAATAATTGCAAGTGCACTATCGTGTAAAATAAATGCAACTCACTCCAAAAACTCTATCAATGCATTTCTTATAACCTTCCATATTATAAACTCTTCATTTTTACCTTAGTACCCTACATCCTTCAGTAAATATATTCACATGTATTATACATATCATTATACTCCAAAGCACATCCACGGCCTATCCTGCACCCTCAACTGTCCATAACTGACTTTTTCCTTCATCTAAGACGAGGTCAGGAAAGGTCAACAGTATGGCAATGGCCTTGTTATAATACCTCAACATTCAGGGTCACATCAGTCCTACACAGCTCAGAATATTAAGTCAGCTTGTTGTGATTAATCAGTAGTGTAGATCTTGGCTATTAACATTAAATTTAGCATAAATAATTTGCTTTGTGAGTAGTTTAATTGTAATTAAACCTCATTGATAGTAAATTTTGGGTTATCTTTGGGGGGAAAATGGGATAAGTGGGTCCAGAACAAGTTAACTGTTTTGGAAGCATGAATTGATGAGCTGGCCCTTGTGAACCAAAGTTGAGCTAAACCCACCATTCTCATCTCTTATCTAAGACCAGCCTTATAACAGTAGGACATTTAAGGACGAGAATGAGGGAAAAATTCCTGATGAACCCAATGACATTATAGAAAACGATAAATCATAATTTTGTTTTGTAGAACTTTTTCTTATCAGATGTGTTTGAAAGAGAAATCGGGATCAAGTTGCAAAGGGAAATATTTTTGTAAGGAGTAATGGGGATTCGAACCATCGATGTCCCAGACGCAGGGCTAAGAGTACTATTAACTAGGGGTATTTCTAAGTCACGGATTTGTTAAGGATTATACTATGCTTAAATCTCATTTTTACAAAAGGCCGTGATTTGGGCCACAGCTCACAAATATAATAATAAGTTGTACTGGTTACGGAGTACGTTTGACACTTGATCAGCAGTAACTACGGTGCCTTGCATCTAGGAGATCGCCAGTTCAAATTCCCAGTACTTTACATGAACGTTTAACGACATTGTGGAATCTTATTTCAAGGGAATTAATCATTATGAGAAATTAACGTATAGATATCCTAACCACTGGCACCTGCTGCCTCTGTCATAGTGTAAATGAGAACTTTTGCTAAAACAATGTTAAAATGTGTTCAACAAAATGTTTTCCCTTACCTCATCCTTGAGAAACCTACCACATAAGACACCTCACAACAGCCACAGCCACACCACACAGCACAAAGACTCTCCGGGCGCGGACGTACAAAGGCTGGAACGTCCACCAGAGCCCTGCTTTCAAACGCAACTTATACCGGCTACTAATTGGCCCCGTAGTGCCTTTTAACCAGTCTTCGGTGGCTCGTGCAGTCGGTAGATGTGCTCCAAGTATGTAGCCTACATGTCGGTACATCTACCCCATCAACTGCAGCAGTACCTAGTCATCCGACCCATGAGATGGATATCTGCTTCGGGCCACCTTCGATCCCCGCGTCAAGTCGATCATCCTCTGCTTGTTCTTACATCTTTGCCGCTTCTACTAATTTTTAATCTTTGTTGGAATAAACAAATACGCATATTCATATTTTAGTATGGTTTTAAAGTAGTAATTCACATAAATCCGTTCTGACCAACACAGCAGAAAATTAATAGCTTGTCTTTGTTTTGTGATGTCCATCAAACCAACTTCTAAAGCCTTGAGACAGAAGCGAACACAATCGTCGGAATAGTTAGAATATTAGATTAGAATGTATACACGAGCTTCTAGAAGCTCTAGTTGTAACTGCATGAATATCTGAAACATTAGTTCTCTAGGTATATTTCTAGGTTTACCAGCATGCAAAATAATTGCTTTCATATGAGTTAGGCTTTCTTAGCATAAACATCTCTTGGTGGCTATACTCACATGCATATATAAGCTTCTCCTCCCAAACCTGCATATATATGTCTTAGAATAAACATTTTTTTCTTTGCGCATGAGTACAACTACATAATAACTGTAATAGTATTATTATGTTTAGTTAAGGAAGGGGGAATTTTCTTCGCTTGCTACCCTAGCAAGTGAATTATTTTATATATATATATATTCTAGTATTTAGGTTACAGTATTAGGATAGATATATGCTAGATCATTAAGGCTTAGAAAATCTTTCCAGTAAAATATAGAAAAAATTAAGTAAAACTGACAATTGTGCCAGAAAAAAACATACAAAAAATATGGGTTTTATCATTATTTATGAGATAGTTATACAGTTAAAAATTGCATTGAAACTAAAGGATTTAGCTTTAGGAATCATATTATTTAGACTCCAGTCACGACACTATTCCCTCGTACAGTATATGACAAACTTGGTGAAAATAGCACCTGGGTAACACAAGGGGCTCCTTATCAATGTCATCAGTATTGCCTAATGAACCTTATTAGCTGTTACCCTAGGGTCGTTTTTTGCTGATTGTGTCATATATATTTGTCTTGTTCTTGTCAGTGTTCTTGTCAACTCGTGAGACACTTTCGTAAGGGTCCAGGCTCGGGGCTGGTCAATTTCGGATTTTTTTTTTTAATCCAATTTAGGCTGCCCCATGCCGAAATTTCGCTCGATTTTTGTAAACGAGTTTTTTTTACATTTTTTAAATATAATACAAATTATCTACTTTTTCATGATTATGTATATATATTATATATATATATATATATATATATATATATATATATATATATATATATATATATATATATATATATATATATATATATATATAATCAGCCTTTTTGTATGAAATTAGCATGTAATTTTTTCCATTTTACAATTGGATAGACCACACAGAAGTGGCAGGATTTCCAATTATATATATATATATATATATATATATATATATATATATATATATAATATATATATATATATATATATATATATATATATATATATATATATATATATATATATTTATATATATTAAAGTGTTCATTTTTGGTCCCCTTACCCCTGCCCCAACCAGCCCCCTGTCTGTGATCCTATCAAACACTCCTCAGTGCTATCACTCACTGTGCACAAGCTCCCACTGAATAAAAATAAAAAATAAAACCAATAGTCAGTTTGATCAGTGTCTTGCTAACGTTACTGTGACCAGCTGAAGAGTCCCCTAGCCAAGGAAAAACAGTGACATATAGTTATCCAGATTCTTAGATAGGTTACGTAAATTAATTTGTTATTTTACGTAAATTTTAGCAGTGTTAGGCTCGGTTGTTTTGTTAGCTTTGGTGCAAAATGAAAAAGGTCATATAAAAATGGCATAAGTATATTTAGCTGCTTTCCTTAGAGGGCTAATCTTCAGATGACCACATTAATGTGTTTGCAACCTCAAAACTTCTCGTTAGTGTTACTAGCTCAACTACTCTCGTGTGGGATAATTTGACTTGGTGCTTTAATAAATCTAAGGCAGTTTATTATTATTATTTTTTAAAACGTTCCATCCTTTTGAGTTTATCATTTAATATTCTGTCATGTCGACGTTTCCTGAGCTGGGAGAAAAATGCATTACCACCATCTTTAAGCCAAAAAATATCTCTACATAAATAAACACTATTTTTTTTATCTTAAATAAATACCTAAATAAACATAGTTAAAGTGATAAGTAATAACGCTATCAAGAATACGCTTATAACTATTTAAAGACCTCAAAATTAAATTCCACCTAGGAAAGTCGACGGTTTGACAGTGCTGGTGACCAGTTTGGTGACTCATATTTTTTGTTGACTAGGCTAACGATTCACTAATAATAATCTGTTACCTGCATCCACTTGAGCGACCCGGAATTCAATTTTATTTTTTTTATTTTATTTTTTGCAGTAACGGACAAGTTAGTTACATTCAAGAATCTTTTCATATATTATTTTTGCTTTGGTAGATCAGTGCTCTTTCCTTTGTGCAAATATTTATCATACAGTGAACAGCAGCAAATAATCTATGGTTAGAGTCAAATTTTTTTGTGCACACCATTAGCTCTAGTCTTACGCTATCCACAGTTGTGCAGATATTTTTCATTTAAGTTTATCCTTAATTGCATAAATAAAAAAAAATATTTACACTTAATTTCAGTATCTTTCGTATTTGACACAGTGACATTGAACAACTTTCGGTAAACAGAGCGATTATTCTCTGCGGCTATTCAGTGCACCAGATGGATTGAGCAGATTTTTATAATTTCACTTCTCGGGTTAGTTATGCACACACAAGCGGTAGTTAGGAGTGGAGGTCCTCATCTTCTGGAGCAGGGCAATGTGCAGTGGCTGGAAATACGTCAGGTGTTGTAAGTTAACTGGATCGTCCGTATTCTGGAAGAGCACTCCTGAGAAACATAAGGACCTCCAAAAGTCAGTCGAAAGACCCCTTGAATTTAGAGAAAGCTCCTTCTGTCGCAAGATAGATCCAGTTATCGCAAATAAGATATATATGCTTTTTACTAACCTGTTTCTAAGTGCTGTTCCAGAATTTGGACGTGTGTTTGTGTACAGATGTTGCCAATAACACTTGTTTTTTTCCCTCTCTCCCTCTTCCAGGAAGGGGAAGAGGGCGAGGCTCCGGTAAGTGCTTCTCTGGTGAGGTCTATAAACACTTGAGCGAGTCATACCCTCTAATTAACTACCTATTGCATCAGTCAAATGTCCTATTGAATCAGTCAAATGTTAAACAATGGAAAAACTAGTCATAAAATCAAATTGTTGTACCTTTATAATATATATATATATATATATATATATATATATATATATATATATATATATATATATATATATATATATATATATATATATATATATATATATATATATATATATATATATATATAGCAGAATGTAAGTGTGGTGGAGGTACGTGAGGCATTACGTAGAATGAAAGGGGGTAAAGCAGCTGGAACTGATGGGATCATGACAGAAATGTTAAAAGCAGGGGGGGATATAGTGTTGGAGTGGTTGGTACTTTTGTTTAATAAATGTATGAAAGAGGGGAAGGTACCTAGGGATTGGCGGAGAGCATGTATAGTCCCTTTATATAAAGGGAAAGGGGACAAAAGAGATTGTAAAAATTATAGAGGAATAAGTTTACTGAGTATACCAGGAAAAGTATACGGTAGGGTTATAATTGAAAGAATTAGAGGTAAGACAGAATGTAGAATTGCGGATGAGCAAGGAGGCTTCAGAGTGGGTAGGGGATGTGTAGATCAAGTGTTTAGTAACATTGAAGCATATATGTGAACAGTATTTAGATAAAGGTAGGGAAGTTTTTATTGCATTTATGGATTTAGAAAAGGCATATGATAGAGTGGATAGAGGAGCAATGTGGCAGATGTTGCAAGTTTATTGAATAGGTGGTAAGTTACTAAATGCTGTAAAGAGCTTTTATGAGGATAGTGAGGCTCAGGTTAGGGTGTGTAGAAGAGAGGGAGAATACTTCCCGGTAAAAGTAGGTCTTAGACAGGGATGTGTAATGTCACCATGGTTGTTTAATATATTTATAGATGGGGTTGTAAAAGAAGTAAATGCTAGGGTGTTTGGGAGAGGGGTGGGATTAAATTATGGGGAATCAAATTCAAAATGGGAATTGACACAGTTACTTTTTGCTGATGATACTGTGCTTATGGGAGATTCTAAAGAAAAATTGCAAAGGTTAGTGGATGAGTTTGAGAATGTGTGTAAAGGTAGAAAGTTGAAAGTGAACATAGAAAAGAGTAAGGTGATGAGGGTATCAAATGATTTAGATAAAGAAAAATTGGATATCAAATTGGGGAGGAGTAGTATGGAAGAAGTGAATGTTTTCAGATACTTGGGAGTTGACGTGTCGGCGGATGGATTTATGAAGGATGAGGTTAATCATAGAATTGATGAGGGAAAAAAGGTGAGTGGTGCGTTGAGGTATATGTGGAGTCAAAAAACGTTATCTATGGAGGCAAAGAAGGGAATGTCTGAAAGTATAGTAGTACCAACACTCTTATATGGATGTGAAGCTTGGGTGGTAAATGCAGCAGCGAGGAGACGGTTGGAGGCAGTGGAGATGTCCTGTCTAAGGGCAATGTGTGGTGTAAATATTATGCAGAAAATTCGGAGTGTGGAAATTAGGAGGTGTGGAGTTAATAAAAGCATTAGTCAGAGGGCAGAAGAGGGGTTGTTGAGGTGGTTTGGTCATTTAGAGAGAATGGATCAAAGTAGAATGACATGGAAAGCATATAAATCTATAGGGGAAGGAAAGAGGGGTAGGGGTCGTCCTCGAAAGGGTTGGAAAGAGGGGGTAAAGGAGGTTTTGTGGGCGAGGGGCTTGGACTTCCAGCAAGCGTGCATGAGCGTGTTAGATAGGAGTGAATGGAGACGAATGATACTTGGGACCTGACGATCTGTTGGAGTGTGAGCAGGGTAATATTTAGTGAAGGGATTCAGGGAAACCGGTTATTTTCATATAGTCGGACTTGAGTCCTGGAAATGGGAAGTACAATGCCTGCACTTTAAAGGAGTGGTTTGGGATATTGGCAGTTTGGAGGGATGTGTTGTGTATCTTTATACGTATATGCTTCTAAACTGTTGTATTCTGGGCACCTCTGCAAAAGCAGTGATAATGTGTGAGTGTGGTGAAAGTGTTGAATGATGATGAAAGTATTTTCTTTTTGGGGATTTTCTTTCTTTTTTGGGTCACCCTGCCTCGGTGGAAGACGACCGACTTGTTGAAAAAAAAAAATATATATATATATATATATATATATATATATATATATATATATATATATATATATATATATATATATATATATATTGCAAACAATCGCAGACAGGCAATCTTAACTATGCAAGACAAGTCACCGGGGGTGGAAATCTTTAGCTCAAGTACTTTCACGCTTCTCAGTGCGTCATCAGGAGCTATGCATGTTGCTAGGCTGCAACTGAAGGAGTGAGAGGGAAATTTTCTCAGAATAGCGCATTACGAGTCTGTCACCTGCTGCTGGCTCTCTCGGCAGCTCTCCCAGCAGCAGGTGACAGACCCGCACTGAGCTATTCTGAGAAAACCTCCCCTCACTCTTTCAGTTCCAGCCTTGCAACATGCATAGCCCCTGATGACGCACTGAGAAGTGTGAAAGTACTTGAGCTAAAGATTTCCACCCCCGGTGGCTTGTCTTACATATATATATATATATATATATATATATATATATATATAATATATATATATATATATATATATATATATTATATATATATATATATATATATATATATATATATATATATATATATATATACATACGTATATATATATATATATATATATATATATATATATATATATAATATATATATATATATATATATATATATATATATATATATATATATATATATATATATATATATATATATATATGCATATATATACATATATATATACATACATATACATACATATACATACACACACACACACACACACACACACACACACACACACACACACACACACACACACACACACACACACACACACACACACACACACACACACTTAAATATGCCGAGCCTGATTAGTTTCAAATTCTATTATGCGCCCCCATATCCATCCTGTGAGGGGGTGATTAAAAAAAGATTACAAACACAGTTTGTATAAATGGACTTAGCTCTAAAGGTGGTTTATGAGAAAGTAGTTCATTAAGTAGGGTTTGACTCAACTTATATGACCTGTGCCGTTGTCCCATGTTCAATATTAATGTCACGTTAACTCTCCCGCAGTTCATGTCCTGCTAAGGTGGGTTAACGTGACATCAGTTTTATCACTTATTTTTCACTCTTACGGTTTATTTTTCACTTAAGGAGAATGGTTTATTGTTTATATTTTGCTAGTACAAATCATTCCTTTATCCTGTAGTGGTATTACGAAGGCAACAGCCGAATGAGTAGACTAAGGAGAGTCGTAGAGGCTATATTGATTTTATCAGTGCATTGATGCCATGCGAGCGAGAATTCTCATATTGCTCTGCATTTAAGCTTGCTTTAATATTAAAATACCTGATTATTTTCCATCTTGTAAATATTTTAATTAAAAATATTACAAGTTGATTCGTCAAGAACTAAGCAAGTAAAAAATAATATGCTACTTGAATTTGCATGTATTTTTAGTTGAACGTTGAAGTTGACCACAGATTGGCAGTTCTTTCATTTACGAATTTTGTTTTGAATTTGCTATTGACTTATAAAATACTCTCAAACTGTGAGTCCGTAGTTAGTATGTATCCCATCCCCGTAATAAATTTGATATACTATTGCCAAATTATTTTCGAGTAAGAATGACAATTTATAGAAGTTGTGCGATCATCCCTTTTTTGACTATGGATTATTACTTTAGAAAAAAACGTACCTCAGAGATCTGAATAAAGGGTTAAGACTGTGTTCAGTTCCCTGCCAATATACCTTATAAGAGTTTAGCCAAGCTTTAACTTTCTTTATAGTAAAAAAAAGAAAACTTAGCGAAGACTCGGAAAACTAATTTGCCTTAAGTTCCTTCCTTGATCTCCCCAGAGGCAGACTCGACGACGCTCCTCTGAATCTGATAAAACATTTTTTCGAGATTCACAAATTTTCATACAATCCAAATTTCTCCTTGAATAAAATCTTGGATAAATATTTTTTTTTTCTAATTGGCTTTGTTTTCGCCATAGTGTTTAGTTGTCTAGCAGTTACGTAGCTTTCAAATAACCTTCATCAAACGAAACCTAGAAGTCTGTCACATTGACGGGACGGGGGAAAACAGATTTGCTACGCTTTCTACTTCAGATATTTAATTATTTTTGAAGTGGAATTGCGAATTAAGAGAGACTAGCCAACAGGGTAAATCTTGCATGGTTGATTATACAAGCTTACCTCGTATATAAGGAAATGCGTGTATTAATCAGCCAGGTCGGAAGTGAATTGATGCTGGCCAAGTCCTTAATCCAACATTAGAGACAGCAGGTTGTGTAGAGCAATTGTTGTACTCCAGAGGCGAGTTTTATGCATCTCTTGAAGTCCTCAGTAGTTACAACAATGAACATCCTGTTGCCTGTAGATGGCAAGGCTCTCCCCCGTCCCTTTGTATGATGTTAGCATTACTAATAAATGATCTCTATCCCACAGACGGAGGGTGACGCCCCCCCTGCAGAGGAAGGTGAGTGAGTGTTAGTCTGTGTTGACCCTTGTCCTTACATATTTACTGCAGCTCGAGCACGTCGTCTGGTCACGGGAAGAAGGGAGTTTGTGGGACAGGAATTAAAAACTCAAGACGACGTGCTCCTGTCACATACTCTAAGTAGCGGCCACAGGGAGAAGTGCTGGGTACTCTGCCCTTCCCTGGTGGCCGCTCCCAAATTCTCCCCCGGGGAGCTAATCGCTTCTCTTACAGGCTAACATTTATCACACATTTATTTCTCTTTTTTTTTTTTTGTCTTGGTTTACTGTTTTGTAGAGTTACTGTCCGTCCGTGTGCTTGTCAGTCTTTTGTTGTAGTATATTATTATTTCTGCTGAAGAGCTTTGTAATAATGCAGCCGTTCTTCTCCCATCACTAACTTGACACTAACAGGTGGTGAGAGCGCCCCACCAGAAGGCGCGCCAGCTGAGGGAGCCCCGGAGGGTGCGCAAACTGAGGAAGCCCCTGCAGAGGGCGCGCAATCTGAGGGAGCCCCGGCAGAGGACGCTCATGCAGAGGGTGCCACTGAGGCTCCTCCGGAGGGGGGGGCCCCAGTGGAGGAGGCCCCTGCAGAGCTCCCGGCGGACTCTCCCTCGGAGGCCACCCCTGCTGAGGGTGAGGCCCCTCCACCTGAAGAAGGTGATGCCCCGCCTGCCGAGGAAGGTAAAGTGTCCTCATCACTCACGTCTACACGCCGCCTAGACGACGCCCACGATGGTCTCCACGCCCACAACACAGGCGCTTCCACCCACTCACACCCCCAATTCTCAGTGTTCTAAACTCCTTACCTTTGGCTCAAGTTTTATATAGCAATGTCTAACCGTTATTTATATTTATTGCATAATCTAACGTAACCTAATAAATTTATTGTTTAATGGCAATGTTGTTAAATGTTACATTAATGTTCTCCGATAGTTTTCAGTAATTTAACTTTATTTTTTAATTAAATTAATGTTCCAGTAACACCATGAAACAATTCCGGTTCAATGTTTTAATTTTCTTAGTGGGGAAAAATTGGGTTCCTGCCATCCTGCAGTTCAGCATCTCACATCCTGACATTATTCACATCATATTGTACAACATAAATATTTAGCCTTTGCAACTTCTCAGTTCACATAAAAAAAAAACAGTTTGAAATAAAAGAAAAATTTAAATAACTATTTCTCACACATGACAAAAACTAGCACGCTAAAACAAAATAAGTAAATGGTACTCGCAAACCATTAAATCATTAGTTTAAGACATACACATTACGTCATTCTTAATTAAATCAGTCAGAACTCTCATCCTCCACGAAAACAACCGTGATTCGTAACATCAAAACTAGAGAAAATATACAATCAATATATATAACCGTTATGACACATTCACCATCAAAGCAACACTCGGTCAACACTACTTCATATATCAACCAACATCAAAACTACTAAAAATGACAATCAAAACATAACTCACTATGAAAACCACGACTTAAATCACCACCATTGAATCAACACACTTTAATACCAAGAAAACACGGGTGTGAGTACAACAGCCATCCTTCTAACTCCTGCTTTACTGTCTACCCCTAACAGTGGCTGCGTAAGGCGACTAGGCATCTGCCATCAATAGAAGCAGCAGCAGGAAAAATAGATGGAGGAGAGGAAGGTGTGTTCGTCTCGTTTTGTCATCTTCTGTGGACCCTCGTGTCAATCGTTTCTCTTCGTGTCCTGCCACAGTGTCTTTTTTCATCTTTTAATCTAAGCTATGGAAATGAATGCCAGCATTTGTCTACTTATGACAAGTCTCTAGTCAACCAAGCCAATGTGTCGAACTGGACGAAAATTACTAAAAGCAAAGAGGAATCGATTACGAACAGGAAGGTATTAATGATAAACAAAAAGGAAACAGAAAACAAAGAAGCATTACTTAAAAACGATGAAATATTAGTTGTAAACAAGAGGGCATCAACTATAAATAAGAAAGAATCGAATATAAAGAATAAAGCATCGGCATTTAACAAAAGAGCATCGGCTATCAACAAGAGAGCAACAACTGCGATGAGTCACTGGTGCTGTCAAACAAGTCCGTGTGATTTACCTTTTATATTCTTCGAGTTGAAAGCTTCGTGGACTGACTGTGAACAACTACATCAATGCTTTAATATCTATAATAAATTTGTATTATTGATGTCTGCCTTTTTTCCCTACACTCCCGTAAAGAATATCTTCAAGCCGTTCTTTTCTCTCAGTGCATAATTGGCAATTAGTGTAACTCCGGTTACCATGGGGTAAGTGGCGGGTTTACCAGTAAATCAACCCGACTAGTGTTGCCTGTCCAGATTGACTTATGCTATGCCGTACTTACACCTTTATATCATCTGAACTTCAAAACCAAGTATCTGGCACTCTTACCCTCGTGACGTTCCTCAGATCTGATCTCTCCTGCCACGCGCATCCCCATCGGGTCTTTTTTTTCTCTTGTACATTAAGTACTTCATTACCTGTAAAATGAACCACTTGATTATTCTCATTGTTTTCCTAAGATGTACGGGTAAACTTGCGAGGTATTTATGTTCTTTGATTTTTGCAAACTATTCAGCTATTCCTCACCAGCATCAGGGAAGATTGTTTGATGCCGGTGAGGGGCTCTTGATCTAAGAAACTTGACTTGTGCATACCTTTCTTTGAGCAAACCTGAATGCCTCCTATTCCCCCCAGGCGCTGTATGACCCCTATGGGTTTAGCGTTTTAATACGAGTGTAATAATAAAATGAACAATGTTTCTTCACAGGCACCGGGAGGCAGGGTTCAGAGTCAGTTCTCCCTTGCCCTATAAACAGCGCCCCGATCCCTAAGGCTCAGCACTACCCCCGTGAATAAAATTAATAAAGGTACTGGCGTCGTTCTCCTTATTCACGTCTTGTATTATCTTGACACTACCTTACCAATATCATGTTTGACCACAGGTCCTGTTTGTACCTGAGACCATAGTAGTTAGTGCTATTTCACATCCTGAGTCTATCAAGCCACGCAATAAAATCCTACAAGTGACATAGCCAGAAGTGAGAAGTGTGTGCAGGCCTTTGTAACCCCAAGGGAGAACACCTGTGATGTCTCAGATTTTTCGGTTTGAGATTTTTACAATCAAAACTTAAGTGCTAAACTCTCAGTTTATGAAGGAATGGTGGTTGGTAACCTTCAAACCATATTCCTGATAAGAGAGACTAGCCTCTATGGTGGCCACATGTATGCTACCATGAGAAGTGACCTCGGATTTGAAATTATAGGGGTGGAGGCCTATATATAAACTCAGAAGCAGCTAAGGAGAGAGCTTCGCCAGGGTGCAGAGCTCTGGCCAGCCATATGGGTCACACAGCACTGAGGCCAGGAGATAGCTAAAGGCCATTATTATTATAATCATGGGAGAGCGCTAAACCCGTAGGATTATACAGCACCTGTGGGGGGGATGGAAGGCATTCAGGCTCAATTCAAGGAACTGGAACATAGATCCAATTCCCTAGATCAAGAGCCCCTCACCAACGTCAAGTAACCTCCCTTGAGGGGAGCTAAAGACCAGTGTGGGGTCTTGGTACCTGCGATTATTATTATTATAATAAAAAAGAAGCGCTAAGCCAGACCTGCGATTAGAAGCTGGCTGGTCTCCAAGGAGTGAGCTACTCTCTAACGATTCTATTCTGTGTATTCAATCTCGGTTAACTGTATTACCATCTTTATATTGTTTCTTTCCCAATTATTTTAATATTAAATCCTTTCTCTTGGACCAAGTATTGTGTGTTAGTATTAATAAACTGCAATGGAGTAGAACAATGTAGTGGAGGATAAAATGCACAATAGTGTGTAGTGTTTGGAGGTGAGGCAGTGTAGTCATCGGTGCAGCTCATTACTAGTTACTTGAGGATTTGCCTTCCTCTTCCTCCTCCGATATATGACGGTCTTTATGGATGTGGCACCCCTCAAAGGGGCTTCCTTGATGCTGGCAAGGGGATCTTGATCTAAGGAATTGGGCCTGTCTTCCCATCTGGTATGTCATTTACATAAATCAGAAGCATTACTGACCCTATTACTGATCTTTGTGGTCCTCCATTTGTTGCTCTTCCCAGATAATCGCTGTTTCTTTCCTCAACGGTATTCTTTGATCCACCAGAGTATGCTCCCAGCTATTCTTGCCAGTTTCTCAGGTTTTTGCCCCAATCTCAGATGGGGTACTTTATTACTATAAATCAAGGGGGAAGCGCTAAACCCAGAGGATTATACAGCGCCTGGGGGGGATGTGGAAGGCATTCAGGCTTAATTCGGAGAACTGGAGCACAGATCCAATTCCCTAAATCAAGAGCCCCTCACCAACATCAAGGAACCTTCCTTGAGGGGAGATGGGGTACTGTATCAAATACTTTGCAGTCTAAAAAAAAAAAAAAAAAAAAAAAAATGCAATCAACCCAACCCTCCCTCCCTCCTGTCTCACTGCCATTTGTCAGGGAATTCTAAAAAGATGGGTAAAACAAGACTTGCCATACTGGTTGTTTATAAAACCACTTTTCCCCAACTATCTTCTCCATTACCTTGCACAGTATATCAGCAAAACTGGCCTATAGTTTGATGCCTCCTACCTGTCTCCTTCCTTAAATATAGGTACTTCATTCGCTGTCTTCCATTATTATTATTATGATCAAAATATTAGTGCTAAGCCACAAGGGCTATACTCGCTGTCTTCCAGTTCTCTGGCAACTGTCCTATGCTCATGACTTCTTGTAGGCCATATTATTATAATCAAGGGGGAAGTGCTAAACCCATAGGATTATACAGTGCCTGTGGGGGGGGGGGATGGAAGGTATTCAGGGAACTGGAGCACTTGTAGGCCATAGCTAGTGGTTCAGACTACTGATGCTCCCTCCTGCAAAATCCATGTCTTAAATTTTGCTTATAGTGTACCTCACTTACCCTGGACATATTCAGGTCAATGAACACACTATTATTATTATAATAAAAAAGAAGCGCTAAACCACAAGGGCTATACAGCGCTGCAGGGCAGGAAGGAAGCGAGGGCATCAGGTGGTAAAAGGGAGATGGAAGAGTAATAGGTTACGGAGAACAGCGGGGCAGTGGATGATGAAAGGGTAGAGGGCAGCAAGAGATTGAGGTAGAAAGGTCTGAGGGGAGTGCGAAAGGTATCATCATCAGAGTTTGTGGAGTAAATCAGTCGTTGTCAAGAAGTCAATGAGAGAGTCAGGATTAAAGGAGGGTCCATCAGCAAGAAGGGAAGGTAAAGAGAGAGTAGTAGAGCGGAGACAACGACAGAGGTAAATTCTGCGTGCTCATTGATAGAGAGGGCAGTCTAACAGAATGTGGCTAATCGATACTGGAACTTGACACTGCTCACAGAGAGGAACAGGGTGCCTCTCCATGAGATACCCACGAGTAAGACGAGTGTGGCCAATGCGAAGGTGGAAGAGAGTGGTCTCCCAACCTCGGCACTGATGATAAGAAGACGGCCAGTAACCTATGGTCGGTTTAATAGAATGAAGTTTGTTACCAAGCAGAGTTGACCAATGTTGTTGCCAATGGGTGTGAAGGTGGGTAGCTATTGCAGCAAAATAGTCCAGAAATGGAACACCTCTATAGGAAATTGGTAGGTCGTGTACTGCTGACCGCGCAGCAGTGTCTGCCTGTTCATTGCCCTGTACGTCGACATGACCAGGGACCCAACAAAAAACAATATCTTTATGCTTGGTAGAGATATGGCGTAGCCAAAGTTGGATACGTAAAACTAGGGGGTGAGATGTATCAAATTTTCGTATAGCCTGTAGAGCACTAAGGGAGTCTGAGACTACCACAAATGATGACACAGGCATAGATGCGATACGAATAAGTGCTGCAAGAATGGCATACAATTCAGCAGTAAAAATGCTAGCCGAAGATAGTAAATGCCCCCGCACGACGCTGTCTGGAAACACTGCTGCAAATCCGACGCCGTCTGAAGACTTAGAGCCATCTGTGTACACAGCGATGGCATGAGAATGAGAGTGGAAGTGATCAAGAAAGAGAGAGCGGGAAGCCACCGTAAGCAGTTGGGCTTTCGAGCAAGGGAGTGAGAAAGAACAGACCCAAACAGCTGGAACTTCCCAGGGGGTAGGGAAAAGTGAGATGCTACATGAACATATAAAGGTGGTAACTGAAGGGAAGACAAAAGCGAATGTAGGCAAAGAGAGAAGGGATGGATCAAACAGGAGCGGCAAACAAATAAAGGATGTCTACTAATATCAGTGACCATTCTATAAATGGAAGGATTGCGGAGATCGTGAGAGCATACATAGCAGCGAAGGCAATGGGCATCACGGCGATCAGACAAGGATGGAACATTCGCTTCTGCATAGAGGCTCTCAACAGGGGAAGAGCAAAAAGCACCAAGGCATAAACGTAATCCTTGGTGATGGATGGGGTTAAGGCTAGAGAGAGTAGCAGGAGAGGCCGCTGAGTAGATCTGGTCACCATAATCGAGTTTCGATAAAATGAGGGCTGAATGTAGGCGAAGAGAGTTCGATGATCAGCTCCCCATGAAAGATGAGCAAGGGTTTTAAGAAGGTTCAGTCGGCTGTGACAAGTTGCCTTCAGAGAAGTAATGTGGGGCTTCCAAGATAACCTACGGTCAAAGAGAAAGCCTAGAAACCGGACTGTATCACGTTCAGGGATACGGGAGCCATAGAGGTACAAAGGATGATCGGAGATGACAGAATGTCTAGTGAAAGTAATTTGGGGAGTTTTGGTGCTGGAAAATTTAAACCCAGGAGTGGTGACCCAATTGGAAACACGGTCAACCGCATGCTGGAGAGAAACTGTAATGAGGGGACAGTCAGCGCAATGAATGCATTAACACCCTTAAATTTTCCATATGGGTATTTTTCAATTCTATCTCACAATATCTACTGGCAACAACATTGGTTTGCTTTAGGCCACAACAAATTGTTTTCTGTCAAATCACATACAGGATTTTGGCCATCTTCCCACCACTGTTTGGTTTGGAAAACCACACACATGCTTATGCATTGGACACATGCAGCTCTGGACACTCACACGAAGAAACATCCGGCACCATTCTGAGGATTAAGATCACACATCCATCTAGCATCTAAACAGCCCCAACACTCATTCTTGCTGAAAGTCCCACCTCTGATGCAGAATCTCGACTTTTTAACTGAATCTAACCTAGTGCACCAAATTCGATTTCAGTTTTGTCAGTACTAACCCTCACCCCTAATTTTGCATATCCCTGCCTCTTACTCATTCTTAACCTTTGCACATTTCTGCTTTCACATATCCTCCTAGCAGTGATGCGAGACCTCAGGTTTAGCTCTTAATTTGATAATAATAATAATAATAATAATAATAATAATGTACTTTTCTTAAAAACTGGGCACGAAATACACACACTACATATTTGGTTCACACCAAGTAAGGTTAAGGAAAGCCAAAATATATATTGTACAGCATAATTTTATCAATTCCAGTGCCTGGATTTTGTACATTCAGTCCTATATCTGTCTTCAATTACCTACATGCTAATATCATCACAAAGGCAAATGTATTCCAAAGAACACATTACACACACACACACAAACAAAACTAAACCATTAGTCAATAAACAAAACAATAATTTCTGTACTAAGTTAAAAAATTTCAACATCAAATATGGGAGTAAAAAATTAAAACATCAATACTTTCAAAATACAGCCATTTCCATTACAACATTAATGAGCCTGTACAACTGTGTATATACACGAAGAATTAAATTATAACTTGTATAGTTTCTGGGGTGGGTTGTTAATATACAAAATGCTTGATAAAACATACACCTTAGGCTTTAATGAAAGCCTTTACCCTGCATGAGGAACATAAAAAAATAAATATAAATAAATCAAGATGACTGGGTATAGAGTAGCATTTACAACTCCTAACCATTAGTTATGAATTTCTCAAGGATCTACATATGAAAATTTACACAAGTCAAGGACTCGGAGGAACAATGAAGCAGGAGTCAGAGCTCAGTGGTGGGATAATTACACACGTCAGTGGCAGTGACACTTTTAATCTTTCTCATAAAATCAATTTGTTTCACAACTTAAAAAAATGGCTTAATTTTTAATTTACATTTACATCAGTAAGTTGATGTTTCCTGACTGTGTAAATTTTACTCTCCTACTTCACTTACTGTCCCATCTTCTCACAGACTGCGAAACTTCTGACACAAAAATTTCTGTAAAAAAATTACTTAACTCTATTTTATAAGCCATCCAATTTTCTACATTTTATTATAAGCCATCCCATTTTCTGTATAGAAAACAGTAAGATACATCTTACATGGAAATTATTCTAGTGTCATCACAAACATATTGACTTATAGCTATATAAAAGATGAAATTTGTAAACCTTCACAAAACAATTCCATATTTAACTCTGGATTACATTCTACTTTCTCTATTTGTAACTTCCCTTAATTTGTCAATTAAAAACAAATAAAGATTCTGAATCTTTCAATCATAGCCATCATTTATCTTATTCTGTAACATTCTTCTAGGACAAAAACATACTTCCAAATATCTTATCTTCCATGTCTTGGCTCTAACTAGAAAGGAAAACCAATCCCTTACTGTACTTTACCTTCCTATGTACAGAGTCCACTGTGGCTCAAGTTTTATTCTATTAAATAAACTTTTTTTTTTTATTACTTTTACAAGAGCTTATATATAACAGAGTTCAAAATTAACAACTGGTTGCATACACCGTGAAATGTTAACTATCTGCCACCTACCTGCTTCAATCACACTCCCTATCCAAACTATTTTCTTGAGGTTAGAGTGAAAGATAATTATGGGACGTGTTTGATGAGAACTTTACCCACAAAGCTAGTACTCCTTAGTGTCACTGGGATCCCTTTTAAAGACTGCTCCATACTTACTCATGTATTTACGAACAAAGTCCCTAGTTTTATGCTTAACACTATCACTGTATTCTAGAGCATCTATGCTGTGAAGCTGTTTCAATTCTTTCACCATTACGAAGTGTGTGAGCTGTAGAAGAAAAAACAAATTATTAAAACAATATTTCACTGGGAAGTGATAACATTCTCTTTATTTCTCTCAACTACATCTAACAAAATCTTATCATGCACACAATACACCTTAGATGAATTCCTACCTTCCGAGCCAGGTATTTAAAATCTTCGGTACAGGTGATCTTGCCCTCCTTGCAGTCTCCTCGTCTATACGGATTTAGTACACCAACTATAAAGGTGGCCATTTTTGATCTAAAGGTATCCTTTATTCTTCGGGCACTATCACTATTATCCGCAATTGCTGTTGCAGCTCGCTCCTTGCTCTGAAATAAGGGTCACATTTTATAAAGCAACTTATGCATTTTGGTTCAGGATGTTGTGATCATAATTCCATAATAATGTACATCTTTCAAGGGAAGTAGTGCCTTGAAAATGGCAAGTCTCTCAATTTAAGGAATTGAACTTGTCCTTCCCTTCCTTGGATCAAACATGATTACTTACAATTCCCAGGTGATGTGTGCTGTATGACCCCTCTAAATTTAGCAATTCCCATAATAATTATAAAAAAATTTGAAATGCAGTATGTAATGTGTTACTGTATTAATATTTGTTTAGTACACCAGACATTTCCTAGCAAGGTAGGGCGACCCTAAGAGGCAAGTGCACACAAATACTCGTTCAATATTTCTCTTGCAATAAGTGCACAGACAACAGTTAGATGCCAATGCTGCAAACTATAATGTAAATAATTTCACTGGTATTCGTCCTCCATAAGCCATGCGTGTCATAAGAGGCAATTAAAATGCCGGGAGCACGGGGCTAGTAACCCCGTCTCCTGTATATATTACTAAATTTAAAAGGAGAAACTTTTTGTTTTTCCTTTTGGGCCACCCTGTGGGATATACTTTTTAAAAATGATTTTCAAGTAAGATTTACACACCTCTACTGTTAGGTGTTGCTAACAATATTCATCATGAACATTCTTAATGTCTTATCTCTCACAAGAATGAATGATAATTTATGATGCCTTTTATGAGCAACCTCTGTTTTCCCTTAATGCCAGTCCTCAATTATATTTTTCAAGTAATACTCCACATTAACTACTATAACAATTTGCCCAATAAAATATACAGGTCTCCCTCAACATTCACGAGGGTTAGGGGATCAAGAGCCTCGCGAATGTTGAAAAACCGTGAATGTTTGGTGCCCCAATATATTGTAAGGAAATATAATACAATACTGCTTCCTTAACTTGTTGACCCATGAACAATCATAAAATACATGAAAACGTCGTAAATTGTACTAAATACATACGTTATGCCTTAACAACATGTATGTTATTAAATACCACTGCCTCCACCACTGCAAGTCCTTACTACCTTCCCTCCGACCCCCCACAACTGGCAGCCAGCCCTCCCACCACTGTGTGGTGAGTGTTTTGTTTGTTCATTATTTGCTATTAAACTACAGTATAAATAATGTCAACCCATTTATTTTTATTTTTATTATTATCACACCGGCCGATTCCCACCAAGGCAGGGTGGCCCGAAAAAGAAAAACTTTCACCATCATTCACTCCATCACTGTCTTGCCAGAAGGGTGCTTTACACTACAGTTTTTAAACTGCAACATTAACACCCCTCCTTCAGAGTGCAGGCACTGTACTTCCCATCTCCAGGACTCAAGTCCGGCCTGCCGGTTTCCCTGAATCCCTTCATAAATGTTACTTTGCTCACACTCCAACAGCACGTCAAGTATTAAAAACCATTTGTCTCCATTCACTCCTATCAAACACGCTCACGCATGCCTGCTGGAAGTCCAAGCCCCTCGCACACAAAACCTCCTTTACCCCCTCCCTCCCAAACCCCTTTCCCAGGCCGACCCCTACCCCGCCTTCCTTCCACTACAGACTGATACACTCTTGAAGTCATTCTGTTTCGCTCCATTCTCTCTACATGTCCGAACCACCTCAACAACCCTTCCTCAGCCCTCTGGACAACAGTTTTGGTAATCCCGCACCTCCTCCTAACTTCCAAACTACGAATTCTCTGCATTATATTCACACCACACATTGCCCTCAGACATGACATCTCACTGCCTCCAGCCTTCTCCTCGCTGCAACATTCATCACCCACGCTTCACACCCATATAAGAGCGTTGGTAAAACTATACTCTCATACATTCCCCTCTTTGCCTCCAAGGACAAAGTTCTTTGTCTCCACAGACTCCTAAGTGCACCACTCACTCTTTTTCCCTCATCAATTCTATGATTCACCTCATCTTTCATAGACCCATCCGCTGACACGTCCACTCCCAAATATCTGAATACGTTCACCTCCTCCATACTCTCTCCCTCCAATCTGATATTCAATCTTTCATCACCTAATCTTTTTGTTATCCTCATAACTTACTCTTTCCTGTATCACCTTTATTTTCTTCTTTTGCACACCCTACCAAATTCATCCACCAATCTCTGCAACTTCTCTTCAGAATCTCCCAAGAGCACAGTGTCATCAGCAAAGAGCAGCTGTGACAACTCCCACTTTGTGTGTGATTCTTTATCTTTTAACTCCACGCCTCTTGCCAAGACCCTCGCATTTACTTCTCTTACAACCCCATCTATAAATATATTAAACAACCCGGTGACATCACAATCCTTGTCTAAGGCCTACTTTTACTGGGAAAAAATTCCCTCTTTCCTACATACTCTAACTTGAGCCTCACTATCCTCGTAAAAACTCTTTACTGCTTCAGTAACCTACCTCCTACACCATACACTTGCAACATCTGCCACATTGCCCCCCTATCCACCCTGTCATACGCCTTTTCCAAATCCATAAATGCCACAAAGACCTCTTTAGCCTTATCTAAATACTGTTCACTTATATGTTTCACTGTAAACACCTGGTCCACACACCCCCTACCTTTCCTAAAGCCTCCTTGTTCATCTGCTATCCTATTCTCCGTCTTACTCTTAATTCTTTCAATTATAACTCTACCATACACTTTACCAGGTACACTCAACAGACTTATCCCCCTATAATTTTTGCACTCTCTTTTATCCCCTTTGCCTTTATACAAAGGAACTATGCATGCTCTCTGCCAATCCCTAGGTACCTTACCCTCTTCCATACATTTATTAAATAATTGCACCAACCACTCCAAAACTATATCCCCACCTGCTTTTAACATTTCTATCTTTATCCCATCAATCCCGGCTGCCTTACCCCCTTTCATTTTACCTACTGCCTCACGAACTTCCCCCACACTCACAACTGACTCTTCCTCACTCCTACAAGATGTTATTCCTCCTTGCCCTATACACGAAATCACAGCTTCCCTATCTTCATCAACATTTAACAATTCCTCAAAATATTCCTTCCATCTTCCCAATACCTCTAACTCTCCATTTAATAACTCTCCTCTCCTATTTTTAACTGACAAATCCATTTGTTCTCTAGGCTTTCTTAACTTGTTAATCTCACTCCAAAACTTTTTCTTATTTTCAACAAAATTTGTTGAAACATCTCACCCCTCTCTCATTTGCTCTCTTTTTAAAATTGCTTCACCACTCTCTTAACTTCTCTCTTTTTCTCCATATACTCTTCCCTCCTTGCATCACTTCTACTTTGAAAACTTCTCATATGCTAACTTTTTCTCCCTTACTACTCTCTTTACATCATTTATTCCACAATCGCTCCTCTTCCCTCCTGCACCCACTTTCCTGTAACCCCAAACTTCTGCTGAACACTCTAACACTACATTTTTAAACCTACCCCATACCTCTTCGACCCATTGCCTATGCTCTCATTAGCCCATTCTATCCTCCAATAGCTGTTTATATCTTACCCTAACTGCCTCCTCTTTTAGTTTAAAAAACCTTTACCTCTCTCTTCCCTGATGCTTCTATTCTCCTTGTATCCCATCTACCTTTTACTCTCAGTGTAGCTACAACTAGAAAGTGATCTGATATATCTGTGGCCCCTCTATAAACATGTACATCCTGAAGTCTACTCAACAGTCTTTTATCTACCAATACATAATCCAACAAACTACTGTCATTTCGCCCTACATCATATCGTGTATACTTATTTATCCTCTTTTTCTTAAAATATGTATTACCTATAACTAAACCCCTTTCTATACAAAGTTCAATCAAAGGGCTCCCATTTATGACTGCATATTAGAATGGCTATTCAGACAGGTATTGGAAGGTGACATCAAGTGTTTACTCTTGAACACAGCAAAGAATCAAACATTTGTGCTACTGCTAATAATAATAATAATAATAATAATAATAATAATAATAATAATAATATAAAAATAATAATAATATAATAAAAATAATACATAATAAAAATAATAATAATAATAATAATAATAATAATAATAATAATAAATACGATAGAATTGAAGAAGGAAATTGTACAAAAATACAAGGGCTGAAGCAGTGGTGGAGGAAGTGGTTGACGCAGCGTCAGTGTGGCTTTGTTTATGCTGGAGTGAGTATTAGTCTCTGTGCTCTTCCAAACATTTCACAATAATTCATTGTACAGTCGACCCCCGGTTAACGATATTTTTTCACTCCAGAAGTATGTTCAAGTGCCAGTACTGACCGAATTTGTTCCCATAAGAAATATTGTGAAGTAGATTAGTCCATTTCAGACCCCCCAAACATACACGTACAAATGCACTTACATAAATACACTTACATAATTGGTCACATTCGGAGGTAATCGTTATGCGGGGGTCCACTGTATTTGGTGCTTGTAGATTGAGTGTGACTGGAGTGGTTGAGGCAGTGGTAGAGGCAGTGGGTGAGGCAGTGGTATTTACTAACATATATGTTATAAATAATAATAGTACATGTTAATATTAATAACATTTATAATAATAATAAATGTTATTCATAATGTACTATTATTATTTATAACATATATGTTAGTAAATATCACTGCCTCTACCACTCTCACCCACTGCCTCTACCACTGCCTCAACTGCTGCCTCACCCACTGCCTCTATCACTGCCTCTACCACTGCCTCTACCACTGCCTCACCCACTGCCTTTACCACTGCCTCTACCACTACCTCAACTGGTGCCTCACCCACTGCCTCTATAACTGCCTCAACCACTCCAGTCACACTCAATCTACAAGCACCAAATACAATGAATTATTGTGAAATGTTTGGAAGAGCACGGAGACAAATACTCACTCCAACATAAACAAAGCCACACTGACGCTGCGTCAGTGGGGGCAGGAGGAAAGAGGAGTGATTGGTGGAATGATGAAGTAAAGGGTGTGATAAAAGAGAAAAAGGTAGCTTACGAGAGGTTTTTACAAAGCAGAAGTGTTATAAGAAGAGCAGAGTATATGGAGAGTAAAAGAAAGGTGAAGAGAGTGGTTAGAGAGTGCAAAAGGAGAGCAGATGAAAGAGTGGGAGAGGCAATGTCAAGAAATTTTAATGAAAATAAGAAAAAATTTTGGAGTGAGTTAAACAAGTTAAGAAAGCCGAGGGAAAGTATGGATTTGTCAGTTAAAAACAGAGTAGGGGAGTTAGTAGATGGGGAGAGGGAGGTATTAGGTAGATGGCGAGAATATTTTGAGGAACTTTTAAATGTTGAGGAAGAAAGGGAGGCGGTAATTTCATGCACTGGCCAGGGAGGTATACCATCTTTCAGGAGTGAAGAAGAGCAGAATGTAAGTGTGGCGGAGGTACGTGAGGCATTACGTAGAATGAAAGGGGGTAAAGCAGCTGGAACTGATGGGATCATGACAGAAATGTTAAAAGCAGGGGGGATATAGTGTTGGAGTGGTTGGTACTTTTGTTTAATAAATGTATGAAAGAGGGGAAGGTACCTAGGAATTGGCAGAGAGCATGTATAGTCCCTTTATATAAAGGGAAAGGGGACAAAAGAGATTGTAAAAATTATAGAGGAATAAGTTTACTGAGTATACCAGGAAAAGTATACGGTAGGGTTATAATTGAAAGAATTAGAGGTAAGACAGAATGTAGGATTGCAGATGAGCAGGGAGGCTTCAGAGTGGGTAGGGATGTGTAGATCAAGTGTTTACATTGAAGCATATATGTGAACAGTATTTAGATAAAGGTAGGGAAGTTTTTATTTCATTTATGGATTTAGAAAAGGCATATGATAGAGTGGATAGAGGAGCAATGTGGCAGATGTTGCAAGTATATGGAATAGGTGGTAAGTTACTAAATGCTGTAAAGAGCTTTTATGAGGATAGTGAGGCTCAGGTTAGGGTGTGTAGAAGAGAGGGAGAATACTTCCCGGTAAAGTAGGTCTTAGACAGGGATGTGTAATGTCACCATGGTTGTTTAATATATTTATAGATGGGGTTGTAAAAGAAGTAAATGCTAGGGTGTTCGGGAGAGGGGTGGGATTAAATTATGGGGAATCAAATTCAAAATGGGAATTGACACAGTTACTTTTTGCTGATGATACTGTGCTTATGGGAGATTCTAATGAAAAATTGCAAAGGTTAGTAGATGAGTTTGAGAATGTGTGTAAAGGTAGAAAGTTGAAAGTGAACATAGAAAAGAGTAAGGTGATGAGGGTATCAAATGATTTAGATAAAGAAAAATTGGATATCAAAGTGGGGAGGAGTATGGAAGAAGTGAATGTTTTCAGATACTTGGGAGTTGACGTGTTGGTGGATGGATTTATGAAGGATGAGGTTAATCATAGAATTGATGAGGGAAAAAAGGTGAGTGGTGCGTTGAGGTATATGTGGAGTCAAAAAACGTTATCTATGGAGGCAAAGAAGGGAATGTATGAAGGTATAGTAGTACCAACACTCTTATATGGATGTGAAGCTTGGGTGGTAAATGCAGCAGCGGCGAGGAGACGGTTGGAGGCAGTGGAGATGTCCTGTCTAAGGGCAATGTGTGGTGTAAATATTATGCAGAAAATTCGGAGTGTGGAAATTAGGAGAAGGTGCGGAGTTAATAAAAGCATTAGTCAGAGGGAAGAAGAGGGGTTGTTGAGGTGGTTTGGTCATTTAGAGAGAATGGATCAAAGTAGAATGACATGGAAAGCATATAAATCTATAGAGGAAGGTAGGAGGGGTAGGGGTCGTCCTCGAAAGGGTTGGAAAGAGGGGGTAAAGGAGGTTTTGTGGGCGAGGGGCTTGGACTTCCAGCAAGCGTGCATGAGCGTGTTAGATAGGAGTGAATGGAGACGAATGATACTTGGGACCTGACGATCTGTTGGAGTGTGAGCAGGGTAATATTTAGTGAAGGGATTCAGGGAAACCAGTTATTTTCATATAGTCGGACTTGAGTCCTGGAAATGGGAAGTACAATGCCTGCACTTTAAAGGAGGGGTTTGGGATATTGGCAGTTTGGAGGGGTATGTTGTGTATCTTTATACGTATATGCTTCTAAACTGTTGTATCCTGAGCACCTCTGCAAAAGCAGTGATAATGTGTGAAGGTGGTGAAAGTGTTGAATGGTGATGAAAGCATTTTCTTTTTGGGGATTTTCTTTCTTTTTTGGGTCACCCTGCCTCGGTGGGAGACGGCCGACTTGTTGAAAAAAAAAAATTATTATTATTATTATTATTATTATTATTAGCAGTAGTAGAAATGTTTGATTCTTTGCTGTGTTCAAGAGTAAACACATTATGTCACCTTCCAATACCTGTCTGAATAGCCATTCTAATATGCAGTCATGGATGGGCTGACATTATTTATACTGTAGTTTAATAGCAAATAATGAACAAACAAAACACTCACCACACAGTGGTGGGAGGGCTGGCTGCCAGTTGCAGGGGTCGGAGGGAGGGTAGTAAGGACTCGTGGAGGTAAACTTAAATATGGTTTGGCAGCTGGGAATTTGGCAGCTGGGAATTTGGCAGTTGGGAATTCGCGAATGTGTGAAGCCCGTGAAAGTTTAAAACGCGAATGTTGAGGGAGACCTGTACATGTATCAACTCCTATCTTCCCATATGGCCATTTCAATTAAAAAAATTAACAAAACTAATCAAAATTAATAAGGAAACCAATATGATAAAAATGTTATTAAATTCCAGTGTACCAGACATCTTACTCTATAGATCAACTTTCTTGTGAAGGGGTAACCACAACTAAACAACCTCAGAATTCAATTTCAAGTTGTCCTCCCAACACACCTATAAAAATTATATGAAATTATATATAAAAGCTGCATTGTACTTTAAGGGTTATCAAATCTCCATTTAAAAATAACAGAATGGATAGGATTTAAACTCATGGTAAGCCAGTCCTAAAATTAGCAGACCGGTGCTCTAACTAACTAGGTACCTTTCTATTTACTAGAAAGGTTTGCATGGACCTCACTGTGACCACAAATACTGGTGTTTACAGAGATCTCACACTAACCTGGCTGTGGTAAGATCTAACTCAAGTTCCATCAAAGCTGTTTTTAATGACTTGCAAATCATAACAACGTTGTACAACTGTAAACTTGTGAAAAAATTGCTAGATGAATTCTTAAAAATTATGCAAACAAAATATTAAAAAAAATTGGAAAGAAAAACAAAACAAACCAAGGATAGGCCAATTTCCCTCCTCCATACAACCCACCTTTACCTTCTCTCTCTTAACCCTACTCTCATGGCGCTCGGCTCGCTCGCTTCTCTCGTGACGCTCGGCTCGTTCACTTCTTTCATGACGCTCTGATCTCTCGCTCCTATCTGAACGCTCACTCCTCTCCAAGAGGTCACATCTCTCCAAGAGCTCACATCTCTCCACAAGCTCGCCTATCTCTGCACGCTCGCTTCTCTCAGGAATTTCAAGTCTTTCAGTGACGTCTAATTGCTCTGGAATCTCTTCATACTCTGTGTGGTCCTGGGTACGAGACTGTCTCTCCTCCTGTCTTTCTTGACGAGCCTCTTCCCTGGCTCGCTCCTTTGCCTCGCGACGTTCACGTCTTGCTTGCTCCCGATCAACTTCCAGGATAGGCTACAGAGGAGAAAACGAAAAAAATTATCACTGTCAAAAATTTTTGTGCTTCCTTCAAACAGCACAAACAAAATATCTTGTATTAGGGAAAAACACCTAATGTTTTCAATGACACATGTAAGGTGAAGGCTGCTGATAAAAAATATAAGAAAAACAACACAGAGATAAAAAATCCAAGATGAATGAAAAGTTAAGATGTCACAGGATGGAAGGAGAGCAATGTGAAGGTTTTAAGTACAAAGGAGTTGAGCATCCAGCATGCATGTGTGTAAGCAAGGTAATATGTGTGAAGGAATTTTGGAAAACTGGTTACCCAAACTTGATCCCCTGGAGAAGGAAATATTGTGCCTACATAGTGAAGGATGGATGAAGGATGCTGTACTTTCTGAAAGCTGGCTAGAGAATATTATGGTGTGCTTTAATATTTTACTTCTAACAAACGTTTTAAAGCCTCTCACTCTTCTACCTATCCCTGTCACTGCACATTAACCAGGACACTTAAGAAGAATGCTAGTAATACTTGCATACTTTATATTTAGAATGAAATTGAAAGTATATATGATTTTGTCTTTTTGTACTACTTGTGATAGCATTTCAGTAATAAGACAGAGAGGCTACAAGAATCAATATAGATTCTCCAGAACATACAATCAATAAAGATTCTCCAGAATATACAATGAATCTCTGAACACTAATATATAGAATGGGAGTAGAAATTTTAAGATTGTGTCAAAAAGGAAATGACAGAGCTTAGATTAAAATTATTAGTAAAGAATATTTTGAACACTGTACACAAGTGTGGCATCCCACATGTAGATTATATAATCAACAGTGAATTTATATTCACAAGTGACCTCACAGGGACAAGCTGTTTCAAAAGTGGGAAACAGATACTCAGGGGCACAGATGGAAATTAAAGACAGAAATGAGTCACAGTTATACCTGGAAGTATTTCTTCTTTCTCAAGGTGGTTGGAAAGTGGAATGACCTCAACAAAGTGGGATGCAAACTCCATAAATAGCTTTAAGAGTAGGTATGATAAGGCTCAAAAGGCTAGGAGTGAATTTGGCAAGCAGAAAGTTGAGAGGGTCCAGGAGCTAAGACTCGACCCCTACAACTATACACAAGTCAGCACATATAGGTGAATACATACTGATACCCTAGTCATCAGCAACCTCAGATGTACTGATCATCCATTCATCAGTGAGTAGCGAGTCAGCCATACAGCCTAATCCAACTCAGCTTCCAGGAGGTAAATTCTTCACTCCAGTATTGTTTTTCCAACTGTTTTAATTTATTTTTGATGTGTTAATTTTAAGATGTTTGGAACTATACCCTATCTTTGCTACATATTACTGGTTGCACAATGCACAATTTTAGTTGCAATTACTTTCACAAACAGAATTACTGTGCCAAGTGAGGGTATACTGTACTGAACTGCATGTGGCTTAATAACATGCCTAAAAGTTGATAGAAAAATGGCTCTCAAAAAGGCAGTCACTCATTTTTAAACACATCAGCCACCTGCTACTGAAGTGGAGACCCAAAAGAGAAAAAACACTTTCACCATTACTCATTTGATCACTGTCTTGCCAGAAAGGTACTAACATCACAGTTTAGATGGTCCCCCAAACTGACTAACCAGTTTCCCAGAACCCCTTCATAAATTTTACCCTGCTCACACTCCAACAGCACATCACCATAAGAATCACTTGCTTCCCCTCAATCCATCTAATGCCTTTACACAAGCTTATTGGACATCCAAGCTCCTAGCACTCAGAATTTCTTGTAACCCCTTCCTTCAACCTATCCTGAGATGACCCATATCCCCTACCCAAGACTTATACACCCCCCCCCCCCCTGGTCATCTCATTTTGCTCTATCCTCTCAATGTTGAAACAGTCTCAACAACTAATCCTCAGCCCTCTGAACAATATTTTTGATAACCCCACACCTTGCTTATACAAATTCATGCCAAATTATAAGAGGTCATTAATATTCAAGCATTATGAAATAGAGGAAAATTCTGATGAACTGTTTGTCAATGAAGCTTATAATAGGTGTACTTAAAGGAGAAGCAGGCATAGATTATCTATATTATCTACATTCATTCAGTAATGGAAATATTTCATCAACTGCCATGTGGCATACTATTTCCACATTACTGAAATTTTTATTTTACTACTTCAATCTACAGAAATACTGTCACATTTCAATTCTCTGAACAGCAATTCCTATCCTCAGGAAAAGTGTTTTTCCTTGGTGAGTTGACAACAATAACAATGACAATAACAACAATGAAAAGCAGACATAAAAACAAACAAAAATGCAGTTAAATATAAAATTAGATAAAATAATACAGACAGCATCTGCTGATATTTCATGCACCTGGCATATTCCTCTTTTGTCCATGACACTAACTTCATGCTTGTCAAAAAACTTGAAACTACAGTACAGTGTGTCATAGGCTAAGGGGTGTTCAACCATGGGCTAATAGGGACTGCATTTATATGGGACAAAACTAGAATACATGACAAATGACATTAAAAGCCCTGCAGGAGCACCCATGGTTGTGTCACAGTGGTGAGTCTCCTCAGCAGGGAAGGTTGAGATCACTTACGCTGATAACACGTTCCTGCACCAGTGCTTCTGACCGCCGTTTCTTGCCCCGCACGCGTCTGATCATCTTCTCATCTGACACCCCACTTCTCTCCACCGTCACCACCACCTCCTCCTCCTCCTCATCACTTGAGAAGTCTTCGCTCTGAGCAGGTGACACAGGAGCCTCATTACACAAAGAACTAGCCAAGGAAACTCTTCCACAATATGACATTCATGCAATCAGCATAACAATCAATAAAAACCAGTAAACAATTTTTCTACATAAGCATTGAAAGTAAATGTATAAATGACTTGCTATTCAAAACTCTAGCTAATATCAGGCTTACATCACTAGAGCTCGTCGAGTCGGAATCATCAGAGGATGAAGAATCTGATTCTGAATCTGATCCCAGTTCTGCTTCCAGTTGCTGGTGCTGTTCTAGAGTGGGTGGCTCCCATTGGCTACTTCTAGTTTTAACATGATAAAAATACACGTGTCCTTCCGAGTCCCGTGCTATCTTCCACCGTGGAGGTAACTGAATGGTGATGGGTCCTGGTGGCGGTGGTGGTGGAGGACCTTCTTCACTCTCAATCCTTGGTAAGGGTGTTGTACTTGGGTCTAAAGGCATAGACCCAATACAGGTGTTTGAGGGTACTTCTCCAGGAAGAGGTATTGAAAGAACCTTGGCTCCTTGTGGAGGAGTACCTTCACAGGGTACAGCTTGTCCAGGTAAGGGCTGGGATGGTGATGCTTGGGGTAAACTGGAGATTTCACCAGGCAATGGAATGTTTGCTGGATTGAGTGGATCATCCGGTCCACCATGACCTGGAGTAACAGGCTCACCATCTGGAGCAAGGACCAGTATTGATAAGGGTGATCCACCATCACTCTCATTTTTATGCTGACCATATGCTGCTGGCACAGGGATGTTAGGATCTGGAAATCAAACCATGTAAAATTATCATCAAATATCTTGTCATTATTGCCACTTTTTCAATAATATTGCCAGTTATGAATGTTAGGATGCATCTTTTATCCTCAAATACAAGTAAACTGAGACTGAATAATACAATTAAACCTTATGTGATCTTAAAATACTTAAGGTTAATTGAGATATACCTAAAGAATTCTTCACCCAAAAAATAGTTATACAAAAATTTTCTTAACAAATGCATAATTTACATGATATAACAGGCTTACCGGATCCATTGTAGGGCTGCCAAGTAGCGGCAACTGGGTCCCAATAGTACTGGTAGGTAGGATCAAAAATTGGTGTCAGATAAGGATCATGACCCAGAAGACGACAACGGTCTACATGCATTGCCCACATTTCTTCCTGCATCTTTCGTTGTTTAGCTTCTTCCTCCTCTTTTTGAACCTGTTGTTTAAAGTGAACACAAATTTAGGCAAACTGATAAAAATGTTTATGAATATAACAAACCTCATTTCCTAGTTTGAGTATACAAGTGTAAGAATTCCATCAAAATTACATTAAGGAGAGCAGCAGCTCATTATTGCCCCAACTCCATCATCACATACCTGAGCCCTTCATCTCTTTTTTTTACACAAGATTTTCACAAGGTTAAGTGTTCCTCCTTTTATTTACAAGGTAAGAGCTGTTACCTACATCAGCTCATATGAAAGCCTTCCTATTGTTATGAGACATACAAATAGGGAATAGGGTGAAGTTGGAGTCCTTTGTGAACCAGTGATTTTATTTAGTCAACTGACTTTTTATTTCTTTATTTCTTAACACATTGGCCGATTCCAACGAAGGCAGGGTGGCCCAAAAAAGAAAAAACTTTCATCATTCACTCCATCACTGTCTTGCCAGAGGGGTGCTTTACACTACAGTTATAAAACTGTAACATTAACACCCCTCTTTCAGAGTGCAGACACTGTACTTCCCCATCTCCAGGACTCAAGTCCAGCCTGCTGGTTTCCCAGAATCCCTTCATAAATGTTACTTGGCTCACACTCCAACAGCACGTCAAGTATTAAAAGCCATTTGTCTCCACTCACTCCTATCAAATACGCTCATGCACGCTTGCTGGAAGTCCAAGTCCCTCACACACAACCTCCTTTACCCCCTCCCTCCAACCTTCCCTAGGATAACCCCAACACCACCCTCCCTCCACCTACAGATTTATACACTCTCGAAGTCATTCTGTTTCATTCTATTCTTTCTACATGTCTGAACCACCTCAACAACCCCTCCTCAGCTCTCTGGATAATAGTTTTGGTAATCCCACACCTCCTCCTAATTTCCAAACTATGAATCCTCTGCATTATATTCACACCACACATTGCCCTCAGACATGACAGCTCCACTGCCTCCAGCCTTCCCCTCATTGCAACATTCATCACCCATGTGTCACACTCATATAAGTGTGTTGGTATAACTATACTCTCATACATTTCCCTCTTTGCTTCCACAGACAAAGTTCTTTGTCTCCACAGACTCCTAAGTGCACCACTCACCCTTTTCCCCTCATCAATTCTATGATTCACTTTATCCTTCATAGACCCATCTGCTGACACATCCACTCTCAAATATCTGAATGCACTCACCTCCTCCATACTCTCTCCCTCCAATCTGACATCCAATCTTTCGTCACCTAATCTTTTTATCCTCATCACCTTACTTGTTGCTATATTCACTTGTAATTTTCTTCTTTTACATATCCTACCAAACTCTGCAACTTCTCTTCAGAATCTCCCAAAAGCACAGCATCATCCACAAACATATTCCAGACTCGAGTCATCCTAGGAATAAATGATCTCAGATGAAGTCAAGCTCTTAAGAAAGGTACAGATATTGTGGTTACTGCCTATCTTGTTAGAAAGAAGCTCTCGTCTATATACGTATATACATTTTTTTTTTCAACAAGTCGGCCATCTCCCACCGAGGCAGGGTGACCCAAAAAGAAAGAAAATCCCAAAAAAGAAAATACTTTCATCATCATACAACACTTTCACCTCACTCACACATAATCACTGTCTTTACATAGGTGCCCAAATACAACAGTTTAGAAGCATGTATAACACACCCCTCCAAACTGCCAATATCCCAAACCCTTCCTTTAGAGTGCAGGCATTGTACTTCCCATTTCTATTACTCAAGACCGGCTACATAAAAATAACCAGTTTCCCTGAATCCCTTCACTAAATATTACCCTGCTCACATTCCAACAGCTCGTCAGGTCCCAAAAACCATTCTTCTCCATTCAGGAAATGAAAGGTTATGAGGACTGGGGAAGCAGCCAGAAGACAGGAAACTACAGACTTGGGAGGATAGACCTCATTCAAGGAGGACCTGGAATTAAGCTTAGTGCCTACCGTACTGCCAGAGACTCGTATCAACTGAATTACCTCTGCAACCAATACCTGCCTGGCAAATCTGAGTGTGCCATTCAGGAATCTCAACAAAGAAACATTCCAGGTGCTTTATACAATATGTGTTGGGCCCATCTTGGCGTATGCTGCACCACAATGGAACCCACACCCGAGGAACCATGTTAAGAAACTGGAGAAAGTGCAGAAGGATCCAACAAGACTAGTTCCAAGGCTAGGAAAGGTGTGAGCTATGAGAAAAGGATAAAAGAAATGTCTCTGACGACTCCGGGAAAACAGAGGGACCAGGGAAGACATGATAACGAGATACAAAATCCTCAAGAGGAATTGATAGGGCAGACAGGGACAGGCTGTTTGAGAGGTAGGAAACAGGTACTTGGGAACACAGCTGTAAGTCAGAGAGACAGATTAGTCACAAGGATGTCAAGAAGTATTTCTTCAGTCTCAGGTTGGTTGGGAAGTGAAATGACCATGACAAAGAAGTAGTAGAGGCAGACTCCCTATACAGTTTTAAGAACATGTTTAATAGGGCCCTCAAGGCTAGAAGAGCTTGAATCTAGCATGCATCAAGAGGCAGGACCCAGAGCTAGGACTACATATAGTTGAGTACACACACACACACATCCTTAACAATGGATCACTTGCATTATTAGCATGTAATTTTAACCCAACTAAATATAAAGCAAAACTTGAAAAAGTACAGAGGTATGTATCCACACCAACAAGACTGAGCTATGAAGACTGCACAAACTATGTTTAATATGTAAAATAACAAAACAAACAGGAGACCCCATGGTCCACATCAAAGTTATTTGCTGAAAACTAGCTATAGTGTAACTACTTCTAATTCTGTCTAGATAGTTGAGATTAGGATAGTACAGAAGGTTGCTCTATAAGGGAATAGGAAAATGAAAAGGCATAAAAGCAATACATGTACTGAGAACCTAATAATACTTAATAATTATTAATGGAATAATCCAATCCTCAGCAATGACAATGATCACCATACATTTTAATATTTACTTTTAAAGCAAATAGCTGTCTTCTCTGCTCTTTGGACATCTTTGGAGAATCTGAGGATTTGTCTTCTCTTGTGTCCCGGTCATTTCTGTTTCCACCTCGACGATGGCGGTCTTTGTCTCGCTCACGGTCTGGAGAGCGTCGTCGTCTATCATAATAGGAATCCCGTCTGTTGTATCTGAATGAAAAGAGAATACCAAATCTATATAAGTGTTAATAAAGAAGAATTTCAAAAAGCAATCATTATTTTTATATTTGTACTGTATTTCAGTGTAGAGCAAAAGTATTAAGTTTTGAAAATGTTAAATCATGGAAAACCGAGCTTAAAAATATTTAAATGTTATTGACAGCAAATGGCTACACAATACAGCATAAAGCACAATCCCACTCCATCTAATTTTTGTGCTCAAAATTCTATGCATAATATTCACCATACATTGCTCTCAAACATGACAGCTCCAATGCCTCCAGCCTCCTCATTACTATGCTTAAAAGCCCATGCCTCATTCAATGTTGCTCCGATTCATCATTAAAATGAAGGAAAAGCACTAAACTTGTAGGAGTCTTACACTGCTTTGGGTAATGGGTGGCAATCAGGCTTGATCCAAGGAAGGGGAAGACAGATCCAATTACTTACTCCTAGAGAGACCCCTCACTAGCAGCAAGGAACCTCCCTCGAGTGGTCCAATTTGGTTAATAATGATACAATGATAACAATAGGAAGGCTTTCATATGAGCTGATGTACGTAACAGCTCTTACCTTGTAAATAAAGGGAGGAACACTTAACCTTGTGAAAATCTTGCGTAAAAAAAAAAAAAAGAGATGAAGGGCTCAGGTATGTGATAATGGAGTTGGGGCAATAATGAGCTGCTGCTCTCCTTAATGTAATTTTGATGGAATTTTTACACTTGTATACTCAAACTAGGAAATGAGGTTTGTTATATTCATAAACATTTTTATCAGTTTGACTAAATTTGTGTTCACTTTAAACAACAGGTTCAAAAAGAGGAGGAAGAAGCTAAATAACGAAAGATGCAGGAAGAAATGTGGGCAATGCATGTAGACTGTTGTCGTCTTCTGGGTCATGATCCTTATCTGACACCCATTTTTGATCCTACCTACCAGTACTATTGGGACCCAGTTGCCGCTACTTGGCAGCCCTACAATGGATCCGGTAAGCCTGTTATATCATGCCTAGGCATGATAGTGGCTCTCTTTACACTGTAATTTCACAATCTCAATGCAATCTTGCAAAGAAATAAAATTTGACTTGACTATTCTGGTGCATTTCCTATTTTGCCTCTACAGACATCCTTCTTTCTACTGATGCCTGAACACATCATCCTCCTTTTTCCCTTCATCTATTCTACAGTTCACCTGTAGAATACTTCCTCCATACTCCCTTCCTATAATCTGATAATCTCTCACTCCCTATACTTCATCAAAATTCTATAAAAAATTCTGTATCACGTAAAAATCAAGTATTTATTTATTTATTTCCTACATTTACATACTCTCTCGCAGTCCTTCACCAACCTTACCAACTTATCAGAATCTCCCAATAGAATTGTCATCAACAAAGAGCAACTGTAATAACTTCCACTTTGAATCAAATTGCTCCCTTATCTATATCATATGCCTTTTATAAATCCATGTAAGTGACAAACAGTTCCTTACTATTATCTAAATATTGCTCAGTTACTGTATATGCTTGAATGTAAACATTTGACCTACAAGTCCCCTACTCTACCTAAAAATCCTCCTTGCTCCTCTGTAATCCTACTTTCTGTTTCAGCATAACTCTTTCAATAATAGTTCTACCATGCACTTTACCTAGTATCAAAAGGCTTATTACCCTATAACTCTTACACGCTTTCTTTTTTGGGTCAATACAGTACATTAACAGTTGTTCATCTTTCATGAATACAGTATACTGAACATACACAAACCACTCAATAATCATATTCCCACCTGCTCTTAACATCTGTCTTTAGCCCATCTGCCTCATGCACTTTCCCTACATTTGCATCTCTCTTCTTTACTGCTACAGATATTATTCCTTTCTCTTCCAATGCATGATATCCTTGCATCTCTTTCTTCATCAACATTAAACAGTTTCTCAAAATATTCCCTCCATCTTCCCAGCACCTCCAGCTACCCATCAAACATCTCCACTCTTTCATTTTCAACTGCCAAGTTCCTCTGCTTCCCAGGCTTTCTCAAGTTACATGTCTTCTTCCGAGATAGCTTCTTATTCTCAGAAAGATTTGCTGATAAGAGCTTTATCCATTCTCTCATCGACTCTCCCTATGCATTCTGTCACCAGTCGTTTAACTTTTTTTTAATCTCCATACACAATGCCTTCCAAACATCAATTCGACATTTTTAAACTCTTACATGCTAATTTTTTCTACCTTACTACCACCTTCACCTCATCACTTCACCAATCATTCCTCTTCCCACCTGCGCCTGCCCTCCTCGTAAATTTACCCCATACCTCACTGACCACCTCATTACCTGTACTCTCTCCAACCCATCTTCCTTCTAATAGTTACCTGAATTTTAGTGACAAAATGAAATTTGATATGGAATATTATGGTTGGGGACTACATCTTGGATCATATCACGGGTGTCTATGGTAAAATAGGTTCCGGGTTCCAAACGCTCGAGTAGCAACCATACAACTGTCAAGAAAGCATTAGGGTGGTAAGCGGGAGACCTACTGTACACTGTCACAGGAAGTCTCAAACTTCTCTTATATTTACAATTTAGACAAACAATGAGCTGAAACATGCCAGATATTCCTGACACAGCATAAAAATTAAAAACTTCTCACCTGTCTTTATCCCTTCTATCACGGTCATCATCTTGTTCTCTGTCAAGATACTCCTTGTAGCCTCTGTCAACTTCACGTTCATGCTCTTTCATCAGCTCAATGCGTTCCTTCTTGGGTATACGAAAGAACTCCTTCAAGCTTTTCCAAGTATCCAACAACTTTATTGCCAGTGCAATCACTGTCCTATGTAGTTCCAGGGTTTCTTGTGCCTCTTTCTCTATATTTACTGACTTCTGGTCAACCACAGCTTCATCATCCTCTCCTGGTTCCACTGCTAATCTTTTCCCATTTGTTTTTCCACATATTGTGGGGTTCTCTTTCCCATCACTCTGACTGGAGTCACTGCTCTCTTCTTCAGCCATGGTGCCTTCCACCATTTTTTTTACACTTAATGATGGTTGTTCCACCTCAGAGTCTAGACTACTGTCATCTGCACTTGATCCCTCTATAGAGTTTGGAATTGTTTTGGTTTCCATCTCAATGTCGGACTCTTCACTGGTGTCACTGTTAATGATAAACAATGCAGATAAAAGTACATTACAATTTACTTGGAGAATTTCACGACAAAAAGAAAATGGATTATTTTCATTTTAGCAATGGCCATGTCTCCCCAAAACAGGGTTACCCAAAAAGATGAAATGCTAATCTCAATACTATATTCAAGAAAGGAGTTGACTGGAAATACTAAATTACAAGCTAGTATTTCACACAAGCACAGGCAGCTATAAGTAATAATTACAATATGTAAAGGAGGTTTTGTGGGCGAGGGGCTTGGACTTCCAGCAAGCGTGCATGAGCGTGTTAGATAGGAGTGAATGGAGATGAATGATACTTGGGACCTGACGATCTGTTGGAGTGTGAGCAGGGTAATATTTAGTGAAGGGATTCAGGGAAACCGGTTATTTTCTTATAGTCGGACTTGAGTCCTGGAAATGGGAAGTACAATGCCTGCACTTTAAAGGAGGGGTTTGGGATATTGGCAGTTTGGAGGGATATGTTGTGTATCTTTATACGTATATGCTTCTAAACTGTTGTATTTTGAGCACCTCTGCAAAAGCAGTGATAATGTGTGAATGTGGTGAAAGTGTTGAATGATGATGAAAGTATTTTCTTTTTGGGGATTTTCTTTCTTTTTTGGGTCACCCTGCCTCGGTGGGAGACGACCAACTTGTTTAAAAAAAAAAAAAAAAAAAAAAAATGTGAAGAACATGACACACAATGACTGGAAGGACAGCTCGATTACACAAGAACTGCTTAAAAAGGAAAGAATAAAACAAAACAATTACTGTACAGCTGAACCCTAGAATTCACATACTAGTAACCCATATGAATACATTATATAACATTTCTACTGAAGGCCATTTTGCAAACAGGTTTCATTATTTTTTAAGTGACTAAATTCCTTTTAACTGGTGCTTGACACTTAAACTGAAAACTAGGAAGAGGATTCCATTCAAAATGTGCCCTTTGCTTCTTATCGGATTTGAGCAGTATGACACGACTTCAGAGTTCACATCGCCTTCAAGAACCTAACCCTGGTAAAGTACAGGGGCCAAGTGAATACAGAAACTGACAAAACTCGGGTGATTCAAGTAGATTTCTTCTATCGAGTCAAAAGATCAAACCATCCAATTAGATGATATATCAGTGCAATGAACAGATAGAAAAAGTCAAATAGAAGAAAAACAGGAAATCAGACATAAAGTTCATGCAAACTTTACACAAGGTAATCTCAAAAAATAGCAAAAATCTATTCAAGGTTAAAAAAAACACATAGATAAGGACCAAGATATTGTGCTTATGTAGATATTTTCTGACTGCACAGAGATTACATATATGAAAATTGCAAGATTTAACAATCTGGTTCATTAGTCCAACAAATGAGAATCAAGATGCAGGAAGACACACATCCCTCACTGAATGAAAAGGCAGAAAACTGACACTACCACAATTAAAGGCAGCAAAATTTCCAATCTGTTATGTCCTGAGGATTTTCCCTGACAATCTTACCCTCAATTACGTAGTTTCAATTTTCTATTTGTCAGACAAGTGCAAATATCCATCAAGAGAGAGCTGAAGCAGAAGCTGAAGCAGGCTTCTGTGTTTTTTCAGTATAAAAATGATTATCAACCACAAGGAATATTCAACATCAAGGCTAGGCCACCAACATAAGTAAATAGTACCAATCCATGAGTGGAGCCCTGAGGAATGCTACAGGGTACAGGAGAGGCTTAGATACAGAATCACTAACTACTTCGTATGACTGATCAGAAATATATAATTTCAAGAGCAATGGTACAGTATCCTTAAGCTACAGCTGAAAAGATCACTTATCAGTAATCATTGATCAGTGTATCAAATGCAGCAAAGAGATCCAACATAATAAGCAGTGATGCATTTCCTAAACAAGTGTTCAGTACCAAATCATTATAAACTTTACACAAAACCATCTCAGTTGAATAAAATGGTCAATAGTTCCATCAATTTAGAAAGGAACATAGGATTAGAAACAAGATAATAGTAATAAAAAAAAATGTCACAATACCACTGCTATAACAACTCGCCATCTACCCCAAACTGACAAAGGGAAACTGGACAGTGTTTTGGCTATTTTAAGACTACTATCAATCACAGCTTAATAGTGGTCCAGGACAAACCAAAAACAGTGTTTTGTTTCCATTTCCAATTTGCTGGTTAGACATGATAAGACAAAAGACATAAATGAGACTATGTCCCCAACCTTGTTTTCTTATTGGATTCTGAGTCCGAAGACAGTGAAACTGTACCCAGGAGGTCAGTCTTAGGTGGAGGAGGAGGCGGAGGAGAGTGTGTTGAAGACGTATCATATGTCTGCGTGCTCCAACGCTCTACCAGTGCCAGTACCCGGCTGTCTGTGAGCTGTGTCTTGTTGGTGATTGGTAGACACTCCAACGTCTTCAGAATCTATAGAGAGAAAAAGAGAATTTATAGTATGTGCATCCTGTAGGTTCAGCAAAATTAAAGAGTGAATAAATTAAAAACTCTCGCACTTCATACATGAACATTTCCTTACTCTTATTAAATCATAGTAACACGACTGCAAACAAACCACGGAACTGGCCTGGAGTTTTACGACTTACTCGCTATGAATTCAAACCCTACCTGTTCCCTGGTTGATTCTCTCATGTGCCTGCTATCTCTCTCTCTCTCTCAAAGCAATTTTGAATATTCAGATAATGATAATTTATGTGGTAATGAACATTCACATAATATACCATACTCTGATGCAATAACTCTATATTATTTACTCATATACAAAATAGTGTACACGTACCTTCATTTTTTCAAAAACTGAACATGCCAATAATCAAATGATCACCTAACTGCACGTCATCACCATCCGCTATCCCACTTTTATGAAGTTCGTAAAAAACATTCTGAACGCTAAAATTTGTCAAACTTCTATATTCAGTGGCAGAAAACAAACCAGTAGATGCGCACACTTTTGACAAAAATAGGACTCAAAGTGGGTGATATCGCCAATGCATAAATTGTGCCATGACCATTAACTTCAAGCCTGCATAATTCCATAAGTTTTCATCAAATTTCAAACTTTTGGTGTCATAACCTTTAGAAAGAAAATATTTTTTTTTCTTTTAAAAGATGGGACACTGAGAACAGTAACAATTTCAGAGTCTGGACAGTGAAAGGATTATTTCTTGAGAAACAATATGTTGTACTAACTTCAATTTTCAATGCTGTATGTTCTTGGGAGAATCCCAGGTCTGCCATCCAAGACCAGAGAACCTTTAGACCATGATAGTCGAGGAACAGTCTCCTGCACGCTGGTTCCCCAGTCTGAAGTAACTGCAGTAGCATAACTCGCGAGCTGAAATCTTCAGCACGTACCATAAGTCGTGAGAGATTGAGTGTGTCCTGTCGGTTTCTCAGTCGGTGAGAGTTCAACTTATCTATTTCATCACCCAGCTGAAATACAGACAATTTTAAAAATGTGAACCATTATATACAAGGAACCATCTTCATATTTTAATATATATTTTCCCCATCACTGTTTTCATTTTACAGACTAGACATTTCTGCCTAGTACAACCCAAGTGAACAAACCAAATCTGAAGCAAGAATAACATCACCCTGACACTGCTCTTGACTTACATCAATATCCTCAAAATAGGCTCGCCTCTCTTCCCTCTTCCTTTTATCTCTTTCCTCTTTCCTTCGCTCTTCATCTTTTTCTTCCTTGGTTTTCTCATCTGGAGATTCTCCAAGCCACCCTCGACATACTGGAGTGCCACAATAGCATCTTTGTGGCTCCCGTCTAGAATACAGCACTAGTATAAGCCATGTATGAGAAGCAATTTGGTCAACAGATTTTCCACAAACAAATTTTTGTAAATCCATATAAAACTGCTTGTGAATGATATCTGGAAAAAGTACAGTAATCCCTTGATATAATGTACTTTTAAAATTACGGGGCAATTCACTGGGTAAATTGTACTTTTAACTCCATATTTTCATTTTCAATGTTTATTAAATACAACTGTAAACTGAGGGAGAAGTACTATATCAGATATACAGTAGAGTACTTTAGTGCATTTTACTGCTATTGTTTAACACTCTTCTGATATTAGATTGTTATATTGACATTACAGTATACAATAAGAGAACACTTCTTTCCAAAAACATTATTATGGGAAGACTTTAGCAAAATAAGGAAAATCCAATGACCAAAGGCTCTGAGAAGTTCACAAGGGCCAAATGTAAAAATTTTTTAAGCAGGTAGGGGAATTTGACCCAGTGTAAGAATATGGCTTGCATGACAGGCTAGCAACTTTAGGAAGGCCATGCCATAGGTTCAAATCCTAATCATTTCTTGAAACTCTCTCCTTGTTTCATACTTGAACAACTCTATATGAAAATCAACCCAAACAGTCAAAGGTATTTCTCTTAATAAATTACAGTAATGTTTGTATGACAAATACATTTTAAAACAGAAGAAAACTTTCTCACCCATATCTCTCCAGTCGGTAGTCAAAGCTTAGTTCTTCTCCAGCTTCTACGTACTTTTTAGTGAAGAAACCAATTCTCAATTCTCCATTTACAGTCCACTGTGTGAAAGTAATATGAAAATATTCTTGAATTATATTATATAGCATTTTCTATCATATAAAATGCATCTATTTTTTGGTATTTATATTACAGTACCTTAATAACTAAATTCTATAGAACAATTTAACAAAATAATCCAAAGCTTGTGAAATACTACAATTTTTTTTACCTTACCAATATACACCCATTTATAATTACAACTTATATTACAGTTTTATGGCAATGGCAAGCCAAATGATGGTTTTGACTAAAGATTTTGAGAGGTTATTGAAAGTGTTGTTAACAGATAGAATTATGTATCTTCTGGAGGCAGGAATTGTGTAGAATTTTCTCAGCTCCTTTCTTGCAGTTGAAGAAGCATTGTGGTTAACAAGGTTCAATGAAGATTTTATTGATGAATTTGCAGCAGACACGAGTGAGGGAGGGAAATAGAGGGGTAAAGTTATCCAAGGAAGATCTGAAGGAAGGGAGTGAAGGGGTACTAAATGGTAAGGGCTTGATCATCTGGCAGGTATACATTTATGAAGAGATTTAAGAAAACTAGTTAGTAGAACTTGAGTCTGGAAGGTTGTAAGTACAGTGCCTGCACTCTGGAGGAGGAGTGGAGATGGAAAGTATAGTGCCTGCACTTGAAAGATGGGGTGGAGATGGGAAGTACAGTGCCTGCACTCTGAAGGGGTAAAGATGGAAAGTACAGTGCCTGCACTCTGAAGGAGTGGAAATGGGAAGTACAGTGCCTGCACTCTGAAAAATGAGTGGAGATGGGAAGTACAGTGCCTGCACTCTGAAAAAGGAGTGGAGATGGGAAGTACAGTGCCTGCACTCTGAAGAATGGGTAGGGATGCTACAGTCCTGGAGGTGGGAAGTATAGTGCCCTGTGTAGTTCAGCTGAGCTTGTGAGGTCTCTGGGGAGACCTAATTTAACCAATTATATGGTCACACCTTGCCTTGGCAGACGTTTGTAGCCACGCCCACGTCTGAGGTCTTTTGTTCTTGACGGCGTCAGACCTAGGCGTCAGGTCGTACACGTGGTTGTGGAGGGTGCTTGGACCACCATAAAAGCCCAAGGAAGAGCATGATCAGGAGATTCGAGCGGAGCTGCTGCTGGGGTGCAGAGCTCCTGAGCAGAGACTTCGAGCGGAGCTGCTGCTGGGGTGCAGGGCTCGGGAGAAGGCTGCTGAAGTCTCTGGAGGAGACTGTTGGAGGCATTGGGCAGAGTACTGGCTTGGCGCAGTACTCGTGCTGTGTAGGTCTTGGGACCTGTGGCTTAGTTCCTGTGATGAACTGCCCTCTGAACTATATTGTAAGTTACATTCATTTTGGTCAAGTTGATTGTGTTCCCTGTCTCACTGCTTATGTGTACCACCCCATTTATCTAAACCACAATAATGTTCTGTTCCCAAATATATTATTGTACAAAGACTTAATAATAAACTGTGTTTGAGTAGAATAGTAATATTCACTGTCCCCGTTATTTATTCTTTTTTCTTATATTTTATTATGTTTATATGAGTGAAGAATGGGCGAGGCATATGTTAGTGAGTAGTGTAGAGTTAATGAGAGTGTCGTGGTGGTCACCACTGACCTGTCATTACCTACCTACCTCCACTAATCATCTCACTCCTACCACCTCGCCTGCCTCTCCCCTGCCTACATAATCCCTTACTCCCATATTCCCCACTTATATCCCTTACGTTCCAATACCCCCCTACATGACAGCCCGCACTCTGAAGAAGAGGTGGAAGGTACAGCGCTTGCACTCTGAAGAAGAAGTGAAGGTGGGAAGCACAGTGCCTGCACTATGAAGGAGTAGAGATGGGAAGTATAGTGCCTGCACTTGAAAGATGGGAAGTAAAGTGCCTGCACTCTGAAGAATGGGTGGGGATGCTACAGTCGTGGAGGTGGAAAGTACAGTGTCTGCACTCTGAAGAAAAGGTGGAAATGTTGCAGTTTGGAGGGTCATTTGAATCATGATATAGGCCTAGACAGCTACTGAATGAATGATAATGAATGTTTCCCATTTTGGGTCACCCTACCTTGCTGGGAGATGGCCAGTGGTGGAAAAAAAAAGTAAATAAAAACTCTTCATTCTAAACTGGACTGACTGTAAATATTCAGTTCATACTATATATTTTACAACAATAACCAGATCGTTTACAGAAACTAAATGTTTACGTACCTTCTGAGTCTCTGAATTTGGATCACACGAATGATTGATGAACCTTGATATGTTTCCCTTCCTTGTTGCATCAATGAGCTGATCAGACTTGAGAGCCATAAAATAGAAATGGGAGCTGTGTTCACGAGCGTACTCTTTCCTCCGTCTCTTGAACTCTCGGGTGTCAAATACCTCCCCTACATATTCCATTATGAAGCTACCCCTGATTGAGAAAAGAAAAATACACATAAACATACTTTATAGTTCCAGCAACCTTCTAAGACTACTGCACTTACATAACCACACCCCCACACACATGCCCCCCACACAGCAGATGATAGGGAATAGAGAGAGAGAATTGATAACATATATACTGTATATGATAATAAAAGGTTACAAGGGTAGGAGGTAACATGACCTCACTCTGAAGGATGGGTGAGGATGTAATAGTTTGGAGGGTCATTTGAATACTTCTTATACCCGTTATCTTCTTTTTCTTAAAATATATACAGTAGGCCCCACTTATATGGCAGATTAGGTTCCAGGCTACCACCTCAAAGTGGAACACCATTTTTTCCACTTATAAATGCCAGACAACAAGTTTACACTAACTTATATTAAGTTAGTAATAGAACTAGGCATTAAAAAACACAATAAAAAGTAAAATACACACACAGTACACCTATTACTTACCTTAAAATATTTGTAGCCTTAATGTAGGGTGAGAGGTGAGTTGTATTTATTTGTAGGAAGTCAGGTGTGAGAAGTATGGTAGCCAGTCAGGGCAGTCAACCCCACCCTACCCACACAAATGTTTAAAGTGACCCAGAGCAATAAAATACACATATGTACAGTACATTCATTACCTTAAAATATTTGTAGTCTTAATGTAGGGTGAGAGGTGAGTCGTATTTATATGTAGGAAGTCAGGTGTGAGAAGTATGGTAGCCAGCCAGGGCAGCCCACCCCAACCCACCCGACACCACCCCACCCACACGTAATGTAAACAAACAGACGCGTCTGCTTTTGGTTGATGCACGTTCATTCCCATGTCTGAGAATCTTACACCACAACACAAACACTTTACATTGTGTACAAGTTGTCTCCATGTTGATACAGTAGAATAAATAAAGAGGAACACTCCCATTCTCATATAACACCATTTGTATAAGAAATGACACTGAGTGAAGGCATACGAAAGTAATAATTTTCTAGTTACCCCCAGTAATATTACAGTGTACACATTTTCTCTGATGTTGGACTAGAGAAAATGTTATTCTTGCCGTCCCTCCTACAGGTCGCCTGGCTACCACATCTCATATTTATGTTAATTTATTCTACTGTGGGGTGTATTTATCATGTTTATATGTTACATAGCGTGTTTATTATATAATTTTGAAAAAGAATATTATAGATGGATTAATGAAAATGTCTACATTAACGTAATGTATGACATTTAGCCCTTCGAGGGTCGACAGGCCCTCTCCGAGACTTGTTCTCATGGTCAGCCAAATTTAAAAAAGAAAAATGATTTTTCTTATGAAAAGATAGAGAATCTTTTCCCGATCATTATGACACCAAAAGTACGAAATTTGATGGAAAACTTACAGAATTATGTTCTCGCGAAGTTAGCGGTCTCGACGATGTTTATGCATCGGCGATTTTGCCCACTTTGAGCCCTATTTTCGGCCAATTCCAGTGTACTAGTCAACAAAAATCATAACTATTTCTCTAGAACTCCATTTTTCTAGTGAATGAGTACAAGAAACCACCCATTTACTGATTTCAACTATCCAATACAGTGGTCAGAATTTAGCAATTTTGCCAATTTCACACAAATTTCAAAAGATGCCAATTTCCAAATAGGGTCCAGAATAAACAAGAAAGACATTCCTGGCACTAAAATAACATTTCCTCTGTTCATTAGTCACATCCCCAGGCCCCTCTTATATTTCTTTGGCTTTCCACTTTGAATTTTTATTCTTACAAAAAATAGATTTACTGTTATGCAGACTGCTGCATTAGTGTGGAAATGGTATAAATAATATCAGTGCACTTGTGAAAGAATATTAGACTCACCAGTTGACGTGTATTGGACGCTTGGCATGATTTGTTTACTTTTGAACTTTGGTAAAAATCGAACATTTCTGCTACTTTGGGCTCAATTTCAAGGTACTTTTCATTGTAAAACCAGTCAAAATCATCTCAATTTCTGTAATATGTCTTCCATTCTATAAAATGAGACCAAGAAAACTAGAATACAACAATAAATACCATACGAAAATACAGTGCAAAGTCGCTGTTTTATTCCAAAAACACGTCAAAGTTTTTTTTTCTCATTAAGCACTGTGTGCTGCAGGATTTTTTTATACTGTGCACACTGACCACATAGACCCATTCTTTCATATGTATGCCTACCAGCTTTCTATCACTAGATTTGAGGGCGCTAGAATTTAGGCGTACTAGTATGTCAAAAACCCTGGGTCGTAAGCCGTACTAGTACGGCCGAAACCCTCAACGGGTTAATGCACATAAGAGATTATTATTATTAATATGGCATCATGAGTAGAGACTCTTAAGTGATTTTAATGTGTACCTGCATGATAGCACAGTGTGTAAGTACAGTGGACCCCCGCATAACGATCACCTCCAAATGCGACCAATTATGTAAGTGTATTTATGTAAGTGCGTTTGTACGTGTATGTTTGGGGGTCTGAAATGGACTAATCTACTTCACAATATTCCTTATGGGAAAAAATTCGGTCAGTACTGGCACCTGAACATACTACTGGAATGAAAAAAGTTCGTTAACCGGGGGTCCACTGTATATGTATTTAGGTACAGGTACACCTAAGTATAATTATCAGAGTACATATAAAATGTGCAATAACTTTAAAACACTTGAAATTTCAGAAATTTTCCAGACATAATAGAAAGATGTGCTCAAGGAGAATGTAAACAAACCGGATGGGGCGTGCCACATAAGACAGCATACAGAGAGTTTTGGTCATACTAATTTGAAATCACCGTATTAGTGGAATGCCGTAAGGCGAAATGCCATAAAGCAGGGCCCTACTCTGTGTGTGTGTGTGTGCGCGCACGCATGCACACACACACACACGCATGTGCATGTGTGCATGCATATATATGTGTGTGTGTGTGTGTGTGTGTACTCACCTAGTTGAGGTTGCAGGAGTCGAGTCCTAGCTCCTGGCCCCGATGTGTGTGTGTGTGTGTGTGTGTGTGTGTGTGCATGCACGCATGCACACACACACACGCATGTGCATGTGTGCATGCATATATATATGTGTGTGTGTGTGTGTGTGTACTCACCTAGTTGAGGTTGCAGGAGTCGAGTCCTAGCTCCTGGCCCCGATGTGTGTGTGTGCGCGCACGTGTGTGTGTGCACGTGTGTGTGCGCGCGCGTGTGCGCGTGTGTGTGCGTGCGTGTGTGCGCGTGCATGTGTGTGCGTGTGTGTGTGCGTGCGTGTGCGCGTGCGTGTGTGTGCGCGTGTGTGTGCGTGCATGTGCATGTGTGTACGCACGTGTGTGCGCACATGTGCATGCGTGCGTGTGCATGCGTGTGTGCATGTGTGCTTGCGTGCACACATTTCTTTGGTATTTAAAAGTGTTTGATTCAGAATCACAATTAAAAAAAAAAAACTTTGAAATACTAGCTATTTTTTTATACTACATTAATATGGAAATATTCAAATGATAACTGAAAGGTTTTGGAAGTGACTCAACAATAAAACTTCTAATTAAATTTCTTTTAGTTTTACTGTAATTTAAAATGTGTGTATATTTCATTAATATTATCTTTTCAAAAGATATGTGTGTCAAACATTGCCTCTTAATTTTATTTTTAGCTCTGTCCCAACTAGGGCTGGATTACCGCATAGGCACACTAGGCATTTGCCTAGGATCCCACGCATTTGGGGGCCCTGCGGTCCAAGGGGTTCAGGGGCTCATCCAAGACTGCGCACATGGTGCAAGTGCAAAGGGGTCCCTACCTAAAAAGTTCAAGTGTTTGGAGAGTAAAATTGATTTTTAAAAATTAATCAAAATTTGAAACATTTAAGAAATGCAGGTATCTCAGAAACCTTCCCTAATGTTGACATAGTGTATCGCCTTTACCTAACACTTCCAGCTACTAACTGTGAAGGAGAACGTTCATTTTCTGTTTTGAAAAGAGTGAAAAACCAGCTCCGTTCAACAATGAGCCAAGACAAATTGTGTAACCTAGCCTTGTTGACCATTGAGTCTGATCTAACAAGAAATATTGATTTTCAGAATATAATTGATGATTTTGCCAATATGAAATCCAGAAAAAAGTTTATTTAAGAAGTGCCTGTGAATATAAACAATTCTTTACTTTCTTGAGTTTATATGATTTGATAGTCTTATGCATGATGCAATAATAACAATAATGGTCAGTGATTTATAAAGGGAATAATAGTGCTGTAGTGGTTATGCTGAATATAATAGGTACATGATGTCACTACTTTAATAGCCTAATCTAGTAATACTATGCTGTCTTGAGTTTATTCTCTTTAAAATGCATGATTTAACAAGATAGTTATAATGGCTGTTGGTAAATGGTTTTGGTTGTCTTGATGTACTTTCCCTATTAAATTTAATCTAAATAGCCAGAATGTATTTAATTAGACCTTAAACAGGCTCACACCGACCCCCCCCCAAGCTGGAAGGGGCCGCTTCGCTTACCCGTAACTCAAAGGGGCCCCGCCAATCTGAATAGCCTAGGGCCCGGAGACTTCTTAATCTGGCCCTGGTCCCAACACTGAACCCTGTACAAATTTGCTTGTAAAACATAAAATTGAAAGACCTGTTTGAGTTACTGTGAGATTCAAGAGATGTATCCCTGTATCCAAAACCCTGGCCACTTATATCCTAAAGCACACAAAAGGCATGGTACAGGGTAGAGCGTAAGTTCATAATTTTTTTTAATACATCAGCCATCTCCCACTAAGGCAGGTTGACCCAGAAAAAGAAGAAATGGACGTTTTTCTTCTTTTTACGTTGAATAATTTATACAGGAGAAGGGGTTACAAGCCCCTTGCTCCCGGCATTTTAGTCACCTCTTACGACATGCATGGCTTACGGAGGAAGGATTCTTCTCCATTTCCCCATAGAGAAGTTCCTAATATAATCATATATATATGGAGGGATATGTTGTGTATCTTTATACGTATATGCTTCTAA